GCCCATGGACACCCGGAACACCAGTAGCGTTACAAGTGCGTCACCGGCTTTTTGGGGATTAGGAGTTTGAGGATCGTTGGGGATTCAGGGATTGGGGAGATTGGGGAAGGGGAAGGTAATTGGGCCTCCGGTAACCTCACTCACACGACGAAAGACAACACAAGCGTTGCTTCACGTCGGTTTTCTGCTCGGCCGTGGTATCACTCCGGTCGAGCCGGCCCATTCGTGCCGAAGCATGGCTCTCCCACACTTAATATAATCTAGAATACTAAACAGATACAAAATATAATCCTAGTTATGTGCATCGAAATGATAGTCTTTTAGTGGACAAAGAGTAGGTAAAGATCGGAAAGGAGAGTCTCCCCCGACCAGGCGAGGTGACCATGCACTACCATTAGTTTTATCCGTGTGTTGTGACGTCTTTAGTAGACTTCATCATCAAATTGTTGGATGTCGGGATGTTTCAAACCGGCTAGGCTCTGGCATTGCGTAGAGATGTAGCCTCGTAGTGCGCGTATACCACGGACAGTACTCTGAGGAATTGTTTGACCTGATACCTGCCGCATCTTTTCGCCATCGACCCTCACGACAGCATATACATCCCCATCATATAGATAGTGGGCAGGCCACAACTGTGCGCTTCTCACGTAGCTTTCTGCAAAACTGTGGAATGATCTGTCGTCGGCGGTATTTCCGAACCGATACGACCTTCAAACCTTCAAGAAAAGAGCGTACTCCTTTTAAAAAGGCCGAAAACGCACCTGTGACTCCTCTGGTGTTGCGGGTGTTGTGTGTGTGATGGGCGGCGCTGATCGCTTACCATCAGGTGATCCGTGCTCGTTTGCCTCCTATTCCATAAAAAAAATCATACCTTCTATGTATATGCTTCGCCATAGTTTGTTCATACTTTGTATAGTGAACTTAATTCAACTATCAGTTGTACTTGTATCAACTTACTATACAATAACACATTCCAGCTAGTTCTTTTTAGATCCCCTTCACACCAACTTCACAACTTCGCGACACCGCGACGCCAGCGCGGTGCATACGATAATGCTGGACAAACACTAGTGTGAAGGGGCTCTATATCGTACCAGAAAAACCAGTAGCCTCTTTTAAAACATACATATATAACATCATGTCTTTTATCCGCGGGATTTAATGCTCACTGTACAATGTAACACCCACTTTTCACTATTTATGTTACGAGTCCCATGTAATAGGGGGTGAGCCTATTGCCAAATACCGGGCCAATTCCAGACTCCGATTTTTTAGAAAACCCAGTAATACTTGGCCCAACCCGGGAATCGAACTTGCGACAAATCGGCCAATGAGGCAGCCTTTTTTAAAACATCGAGTAAACCATCACCTTCAATAATTATAAAAAATAAAATCGCTAAAATCGATTTCCCTCGACTAACGAACTAGTTAGAGTATCCGATTAATCGATAGTGTAACTGCGAGCTCTGTGAATAATCAGTTTCCCACAATCGGAGCTGTCCGGTAATTACAATACGCTTACAAAGTGTATCGATCAGTTCCCATCGTCTGCCGGCACTCGGCAGTGGCGGTGTGGCAGCTCCACATAGTTTTTCCAATATCATTGTTAGTGATAGTGACGGCACAGTGTGAACCGCGCATTGTGAACACTCCGTGGGAAGTGGACAACGAGGGAAGTGCCGAGTGATCCGGGACGGAAGGAAGGCACTCTACATCGCATGTGATCCGGTTGTATGTGCACTCCATCAGCAAGGTGCAATCGTTTATTTTCATTAATTAGATCAAAAATATGGCAATATACTCACCCCCTATTACATGGGACTCATAACATAAATAGTGAAAAGTGGGTGTTACATTGTACAGTGGCATAATGTACACCTCTGCCTACCCCTTCGGGGTTAAAAACAAAGGTGTTGTTTCTATGCCACAATAAACCAGAAAGGCCAAATTAAAAGTACCCTTAAACGACGAGCATTTATGAAAAGATTGATGACTGTTGATGAAGCGACAGAGGTATGTAGGAATCGTAGTAATTGGCGTTCCATAGCCTCTGTCTACCCCATGGGAGACAGGCGTGAAGTTATCTATGTATTTTATGTAATAAACCAGAGAGGTCACACGTAGAGCTAAAGGTCTAAACATAGATATCATTTTTTTTTTGTTTAAACTGTCAAACACCGAGCGGTCACCGGTGACCGCAACCTATTGTTCTTTAATTGTGTCTATAATGACGGTACTCAAAAGTTAAGGGGCAAAATCATCGAATGACCTCTCCCGCCTGGGTGAGGCTGGACTCGGGAGGGAGTGTCAGACCCTTACTGACTAAAAACCACCCCATTCCTACTCCTGCACGTCGAGCCGGAGCCCCGGTTACCCGTTAGGTTCTCCGCGGCAACATAGGTATAATAAAGATTTTACGTCTTTACGACTAAAAAATACGAACGGGTTTAGACTCTACCACGCAGTTTAGCATTGAGCACTAAATCACTAGTGGTCAATACACTTAGCGCGTACTGTGAGAGATGTACAGAACAAACTACTTTCTAATGTATTGCGTCACTCGATACAATACGGGGCCGCACTTGTTGTCCTCGGCCGCGGCGCGAGCTACACTGCCAGCCGACGTACACTGCACATACTGTCGAAATGAGGAAATCTGTGTTTCATTTTGTCGAAGGACAATATGTTTTTTATTACTTACCAACTAGTCAAATTCAATACTTTTTTCGAACTGTCAAAAAACGATAGTTTTCTATGAGTTTTGTACGAGATTGTGTATTGTGACGTCACGTTTTTTTGCTGGGAATATACTAAAATTAAGTTGATTATAAAATCAATTAATGAAAGTGTATCATTTTTTGATATTTGATTGTATTGAACAGTCGAAATAATTTATTTTTCATTGAGGCAAGTGCCCATTTTTCAGAATGTAATCTAATGTTATCAAAACGATGTTACTTTTACAATAAACAATCTTTTGTTACGAAACCAATTTCAGGAGCGTACCATTTCTTTTTAATAGGCCGGCAACGCATCTGTGACTCCTCTGGTGTTGCGGGTGTCCATGGGCGGCGCTGATCGCTTACCGTCAGGTGATCCGTCTGCTCGTTTGCCTTTTATTCCATAAAAAAAATCAATTAGTCATTGTTATAAATCAAAATTGAGGAAAAACCTACACTCAATTAAGTAAAACCATTATACCACTTACATTTTTATTACATCTTTTCTATAATTTTTAAATAACCGAACGTTCCAATTCACAGAAACATATATTGTTTAGTAAATTTTTCCTTCATTTTTATATCTTCACCTTCGAAGCACATAATATTTCCTCACGTCGATATAATGTGCACTATATACAGACTCCCAGTGTACACGGAGCACAAAGCGCGGTGTGCGCGTGATCTTATGAAAAAGTAAAAGTGTTGAATGAATGAAAGCTCTGCTCTGTGGTTCGCCACGAATGGTAGAGTAAACATATAATTTCGTAACGTATTAGTAAGTATTGGTAATATTATAAATAATGATTGTTTGCTTTGTAAATTGTTGTGAGCCGCGGTTTGGAGTGAGATTCTCACTCCAAACCGCGGCTCACAACAATTTGTTTGTTTTATTCTCACTGTGAGAATAAAACAAACGGTTGCGGTAATGCGGTAGAATGCTCGTGCTCGTGTTTGTTGATCTATGAGCAAATATAATTCGCTAATTTGTTAGTGTCGATATCATTTGAATGCATTTATTGAGAATATTGAACTAAAACTTTCGTGAGACGTAAAGTCAAAGTCAAAGTCAAAGCATTTATTTCAATTACCTATTATTATGGTTTAGGTCCTAAACCATAATTTGGTACTTTTGAAACGTCAACAAATAAAAAATAAATAATAGTTTGTCAGTCAGTCCGTCAGTGTAGCTAGGTGCTCATTTCAAAACGTAGATTCAAATGGAGAAGAACGAGCAAGAATCTCCATTCGTTCTAAAGCTGCTAGTTTGAAGCCATGCTTTTTTTTAACGGGGGAAAATCATCGAATGACTGCTCCCGCCTGGGTGAGGCGAGAGGGTGTGTCAGACTCTTACTGACTAAAAACCACCCCGTTCCTACTCCTGCACGTCGAGCCGGAGCCCTGGTAACCCGTTAGGTTCTCCGCGACAGTTTTACTATACTGTGTCGTTATTTTACGCTATGTCTACTTAAACGCTTATGAATTAATTGATTTTGATTCTGAGAATTCTGTCTTATATAAAAAAAAGTATAGTAAAACTGATAGACACATCACGACATGGTAGTTTTATAAAGGTGTATCGCGTTAGGTTGCACTGAAAAGGACACGAGTTCTTTTTTATGGCATAAGCCGGTAAACGAGCCGACTGATCACCTGATGGCAATCAATCGGCGTCGCCCATGGACACCCGGAACACCAGAGGAGTTACAAGAGCGTTACCGGCATTTTGGGGTGTGGCGGCAGATGTCACATGTCAACGGATGACGTCACAAGAATCCTACATCGCACATGCAAAGTTTACAAGCGAATAAACACGGATAGAAAATCCCAACGAACAACTGTTGGGCAGAAAGCCCGCCAGGCACGATCACCTCGCCTGGTCGGAGGATCCTCCTTTTCCGATCTTAGGGAACTATACTCTCTGTTCCTTAAAGAGGATTTTAAGAGTTTGAGGATCTTTGGGGTTTCACGGATTGGGGAGATTGGGGAAGGGGAGGGTAATTGGGCCTCCGGTAACCTCACTCACACGACGAAACACAACACAAGCGTTGCTTCACTATGGTTTTCTGCTCGGCCGTGGTATCACTCCGGTCGAGCCGGCCCATTCGTGCCGAAGCATGGCTCTCCCACACTTACGTTCAAACTCAACATGTGCAAGACAAGGTTTTACACTAGTTTTCCTTTTGTAAATCTATTTGAACGATACGATACCAGGAATGACGAACTGACAGATATAATATTGGAAACAAAGGTCCCAGCTTGGAATATGCAACACTAACCCGCTACACATATGTTCCAGGTGCTGGCACTGCTAGTATGTCTGGCGACAGCGCGCGGCGCCGAGCAGGAGGCGGCCGGCGACGGCCTGGTGCACACTGAGGCGGACACCGACCTCGTCGCGGAGGCCACGCAGACAGGTACGTAGCATACAACATCACAGGTGACCTGACATGTTGCCGGGGCTCCGGCTCCATGCACGAGTAGGAACGGGGTGGTGTTTAGTCAGTAAGGGTCTGACGCTCGCTCCCGCCTCACATAGGAGAAGTCATTGGATGATTTTCACATAACATAACTCCACACCTTTTATCCCCGTACGGCTAGGCAGAGGTGCACATTACGGCTCTTAATGCCTCTGTACAATATAACACCCACTTTTTTAGAGTATAAAGCAGTAAACGAGCAAACTACTAGCGTATCACCTGATGGTAAGCAATCGGCGTCGCCCATGGACACCCGGAACAACAGAGGCGTACAAGCGCGTTACCGGCCTTTTAGGAATTTGAGGGAATTTGAGAGACTGGGCGAGGGGGTAATTAAGCCTCCGCTAAACTCGCAGACACGACGAAATACAACTTTTTATGTCATGAGGCCCATGTAATAGGGGGTGACCATATTGCCATATACCGGGCACAATTACACAATTACAATTACACAGACTTCATACTACTAATGAGATTTTTTTTTAATAACCCGAATCGAACCCGGTACCCCTTGCCTGGCAGTCATATTTGTTTATGTATATGTAATATGTATGTATATGTATGTTATGTATGTATGTACGTATAGGTCCGGCCCAGAAGCGCGAGGCAGTCCTATCGAACTCGTACGGCGAGCCGCTGCCGGCCGACGCGTACGGACCGCCGGTACATATACCCGACACTGGTACGTACCACTGTATTATATTCACAGAGCTTTACGCGATCATCGAAGCGTTAACGCGTCTAGCCCTCTGATTGGTCTCTTACCTTGGAGCTGACCAATAAGAGCGCGGAACGTCATAAACTTGTTGATCGCGCTAAAATTGTTTGGTTAGAAGAAACAGTTTCATTAACTTTATTATAGGCTGACTTTATAATAATTTCATTATGAATATACAGTTCATCTTTAAGATATAGTTTTTATTATTAATTTGGTCGCACAAAGATAGGGTCATCTTAAAAGTATAATTATGTTACATCCACTATTTATTAGTTATTCTATCAGACCCATTATAAATACAAAGCTATTGCGACGTGACAACCTGATTGTACCGCTGTGTACTTTACGACTACACTATGTTAGTCTCACACTATCTCTGTACCCAGTTCCAGATCTCCCGCAAGGCTCCCCGGCGCCAGTGTACGGAGTCCCCGACGTGGTAGTGTTCCCCCCTTCAGGCCCCTCCCCTCCACCTCAGCCCGCCGGCACCTACGGCCCCCCTGCACCCGTGTCATTCCCCAGCCAAGTATACCACGGACCCCCACCGCCAGTGCAGAGACCTAAACCAGTATATGGGCCCCCGAAACCTGTATATGGGCCCCCGAAACCTGTTTACGGACCTCCAAAACCTGTGTACGGCCCCCCGAAGTTCAACCCACCTAAGAAGACTTACGGCCCACCTAAGTTGAGCCTGCCTAAGCCTACATATGGAGTGCCGTTCAAGCCGCCGAAGATTACGTTGCACAAGCCGCTGTTCTCTGCGCCCAAACCAGTATACGGACCTCCTAAACCCGTGTATGGGCCCCCTAAACCTGTATACGGGCCCCCACCAGTCCGCGACACCCCTGCATTGCCCTTACCCGAGCTCCCTCAGGTCTCCCTCCCTCCTATAAACAGCAACAACCTGGACCTGGGTCTCAATCTCCCCGCACCAATTTACGGAACTCCGCTACTCTCCCTCCCAGTAGACCTCAAGCCTAACTTCCCTCTCCCGACCGACACGTACGGTCCTCCCGGTCACTCCCTGGGTCCCAACGACCAGTTGTTACTACAGAATATTGGCAGCGTAGGTCATTATGGACCTCCCCAGCCGGACCCGAACCCACGACCTCCCCACCCTGGCGTCCCTGCTCCTCCCACTCCTCCTCACGTGTTGTATGATGGATGGAAACCAATCCCTGGAGTGTCTCTACCAAACGGTCCCGCCGGACACATCGCCCAGCAATACGGACCACCAGTACAAGACCTGCATATCAACTTGGAACAGAATCTACCGAGCCCTGACTTTCACCACCAGTTCTCTTCCACCCACCAGCAGCAGGGCGCTGTGATTTCATCAGGATACTCGAACGTACATCAAGATGCTTTAGCCAACATCGACCTCCACGCTATTTTAGGCGGAGAGACCAATCACATAGCCCCTTCAGACACAGTATTCGAGGCGCACTACACAGAGGGAGACTCGGCGAGGCAGCACGGAGGTAAGGGTCTAGTCGCGCCGTCAGGTCAGTACGGAGTGCCGCCCGGCGGCCAGTACGGAGCGCCTCCCCCCGTCCCCGGGCTGCCGCTGGGCTACGGGCAGCAGTCGGGCGGCGGGCACTCGGGCGGCGCGGCGCCGCGCGCGCCCGTGTCGTTCCGCGCGGCCGTGCCCCGCGCCGTGTTCCAGCACATCGCGCACACCACGGCGCACAACGACGCGCACGGCACGCAGCTCGCCGTGCCCGGCGCGCACTACCTGCCCCCCCCCATCGGCCACAGCGTGGCGCTGTCCATCGAGCCCGGCCACATCTACAGCGTGCCCGGCTCGTACGGGTCCCCGGTGGACTCGTACAGCGCGCCACTCCTGACGGTGGCCGGGGACCACGTCACGTCGGGCTCCAGCACCGACGCCGTCACGTCCACTGTCGACGGAACCGTGCTGGCCAACCTGTCCGCGCTGTCCAACTTGGACGCGGCCGCCATATTGAAGCACTGTCCCTACCACGAGGCCATACTGAAGGCTGCCCAGGCCGGCAACACTATACCGCACGAGCTGGCCACGAGCTACGTGAACAGTCTCAGTAGTCTCGGCTCCACCCTGAGCGAGCACAGCAAGAGAGAGAACAAGGACACGTTCAGTGTACACAAGAGCAAGTCTATCAAGGAGAAACACACGCGCGCCGAGCAACTACAACAAGTCAGCAAACAGATACAGGAGACTCAGGACAGGATCCGAACCCTGAACCAACAGGCGCAGCAACTGCACCAGAAGATCACCTCCACCGGACAGTCCATCGGGTCTGACATACCCCAGAGTGCTTCAGGAGCTTCGTACTCCGTGCAGATACAACCCTCAAACGGCGGCAAGCCGTCCGTGCCGCACGAGCAACTATTGTCTGAAGGGTTACTGCAGAGCATACTGCAAGCCATCGACGACCCCAGCAAGGCGCCGCAACTTGCGCAACAACAACAACAAGCTGCGCAACAACAAATTGCTCAACAGAATATAGTGCAACAACAAAGAGAGCACCAAAATGTCGCGCAGCAACAAAATGTTGTACAGCAAAATGTCGCACAGCATAATATCGCGCAACAAAATGTCGCGCAGCCTCCTCAGTTGTCTCAGCAACAAAGTCTGCCTCTACTGCACTCCGCTCACTCGTTCAACTCCAACACTCGCGCCGAGTCATTCACGGACGGCATCGTGCTCCCGGCGGGATACGAACCCGTAGACCGGTCACACGACCAGCAGACACAGGCCACTGAGCAGCACTCAGTCAGCGACTGCGACCTGAAGGCGGCCGCCTCCACGCGCACTGAGACCGTCGTACCACCGCCAGCGCCCACTGTACAGGCAGTCAGTCGGGGAGATATACCCAGCGACACGGACAGCGCCACTGCAGCCAGCGAGGATAATGAGGTCGCTCTGTACTTCGGAGACAATGCAGCGCCAGTCACTGAGATCTCAGTCGCCACCAGCATCAGTGGAGACACGCACTGAGTGATCATACACAGCCCGGCCAGTAGTGTGTGTGTACCGAGTCGAGTCATTCAGTACGCGAGTAAGGAAACAAAGATTGCTTCAGTACAGAGCCAGTAGCTGTCGTTATACTGAATTGTACGCTTTGTAACGAAGCCATGTCTTCTGTAACTCAGTCGGCTCTAGACAACCGATGGCTACTGTCTCTGTACTGAACCAATCTTTGTTTCCTTGCCTGCATACTGAATGACTTGTCTGTATATCTGTATGTGTCTGTATGTGTGTGTGTGTGCGCTAGTCGTCGAGCCATCGTGTACAATATATCGTTCTACAACGTGTGTCATAGACTCTATAACGCCGGGGACACTGATGACGTCATACATTGTTCAATATGAGCACACCGTCTCTCGTGTGCCCGGTATGAGACACCCGCGGGCACGAGTCACTGCCCGCGTGTGTCGCTACAATATAATGTATAATAATTTATATATAACTCGTATAATTATATGTACTTACCGTATAAGTCAGTATTGACGTAAAAATAAATTATTTCATATAATTAGGTTTAATTATGGAGCATACTATCGCGCTATGTATCTATATGAAATGTACAGAGTTGACATAAAGTAATACAAAAAGTGTTTACACCATTGTCTAAGCACTGTACTCGAGAACAGCTGGACGGGTTTTCATAAGATTAGCTTTATTGAATTCGCCCAATGACAAAATGTCAACATTTTTCATACATCTTTTGGATAATACAACAAATGAAAACTAGTCCGTCAGAGCTCGTTCCAAAGTCTAGATTCGAATGTAGAAGAACGAGCTACAAACTCAAACACTACTCTCTTTATCTCAATCTATATCTGAAGTGAACGTCACCACAATCCGTCCAGTAGTTCGAGAGACGTGTCCACCGCTCGATACAAAGTAGCGCGGCGCGGCGCTGAACTACAAGTTACATTTATGTTCAATTATAATAAATGTCCTAACTTTGTGTTCGTTCATATATTACTGGGTGGAAGTATTCATATCATGTCTATGGAACTGTTTTCATCAAAGTCAAAGTCAAGATCAAGGTCAATAGACAGTCCACTGCTGGACTATGAACCTCGTCTACATAAGAGAGGTATATCTCCAATCTCCACGCTTGGTAAATGAGTTGGAGATCGCAGTCTATCAGAGAGCGCCGCTTTAATAAACATGTTCTTGATATTAAAAATTGGTTTCTAATACATAATTATGGATATTGTGTAGTGTGTACTGTGTGTATGTGTGTGTGTGTTGGGTATGTGTGTATGTGTGTGTGTGGGTATATTAATTTATTAGTCGCGAATTGTTGCATGTTATGTTTACAAAATATGAATTAAAATAAAATGTACAAACTCATTGTTGTATTTTCATTTATTATTATTTTTATAAATTATTATTAAAACTAAATACAATCTATAGTGTGGTTCTCGGGTTCGATTCTCGGGTCAGGATACCTTGACGTGCTGCCGGACATCACGTGGAAGGGGGGGCGGCTGCGGGGGGAGGGGGGCGCTTGCGACCCAACTGTGGGGGGAACAAATATATCATTATTATATGACTGTAGAGTACAAAAATACCGGACTATGGTTAAACCTCGATTTCTGTGAAACCGCATCAAAATAGATTCAGCCAATGGCGGCTTGACACACATACAGGTCAAACTGAGAACCTTTTTGTTTCTAAGTCGGTTAAAAGCATTAGTCACCATCACCACCGCCACTCTTCCCGCGGGTGTCGTATACCCGACGTGACTCTGACTTTTACTTTTACAAAAACTTACAGTCATACCACTAAGACATCATTCAATGGGAGCTAACGTTTGTTGCTCACTAGATGGAGCTGATCTAGCCAGAGGTCTGTTGGTCCAAGCACTGTACTTTTGAAACGTCAACAAATACAAAATAAATAATAGTCTGTCAGTCAGTCCGTCAGTGAAGCTAGGTGAAGCCAGGTGCTCATTCCAAAATGTAGATTCATTTATATAGACATAGACATAAGCAAATCATTTATATAGACATAAAAAAGAAATAGACCTAATATTGAACCTTGAGGAACGCCCATATTCATCCCAGAGCCCTGTGAGTTAATACCGTTAACATGAACCTTTAACTGTCTCTCTTCTAAATAAGATCTCATAAGACGGAGCGCAGAGTTTCTTATCCCGTAGTGATCTAATTTCAGCAAAAGTGTCTCGTGGTCAACGCAATCAAATGCTTTTGAGAGGTCACAAAAGACACCAATAGCATCCTGTGCTTCCTCCCAAGCACCAAATATTTCCTTCATCAAAGTGACCTTTAGTGAAACCATATTCTTGTTGGTGAAAAATAGATGAAGCATCCGAGACAGCATTAACTTTTCAAACACTTTGCTGAGAACCGGCAAAACAGACACAGGCCTTACCTTGTGTTTGAGATGCACGAGCCTCGTGTGGTTGTAGAGCGCGGCGTGGTACGTGAAGGTGGCGGCGCACGTACTGCACGAGTACGGCCGCTCGCCCGCGTGCGAGCGGAGGTGGCCTTCGAGGGACTTCTTGCTCTGGGGGTTGGAATAATTTTTATTTTATTTTATTTATTTTATTTATTTTACACTTTATTGTACACCATAAAAACATACATAAAAAAAAAAAACAAACATAAAAGAATGTGCACAATGGGCGGTCTTATCGCAGAATGCGATTTCTTCCAGACAACCTTTGGATGGAGCCAGTATTCAGGAGTTGGAAAAAGGGGGTCGTCTAGTGTACAATAATTAAACAATACATACAATATAATACTATCTATACCTACATACCAAATAAATAATATATAAAATTAAAATAGATATAACTACAATACATAAGTGAGTGTGTGTGTAGATGTGTCTGTGTGTGCACGCGCGCGTGTGTGAGTGTGTGTGTGTGTGTGTGTGTGTGTGTGTGTTTATGTGTTTCCATGCTAAGTAGGAATTTTTAAAAATAATGACTAAAGAGAGAGGTAATGTTCTTTAACTAGATTTTTAAACTGAGGTAGAGTTTGAGCACGCCTCACCTTAATCGGCAAGGCATTCCACAACCGAGCCGCTTTAATAGTGAAGGAATTACCAAAAAAGGAAGTGGAGTGCAAACTAATATTTAAATTAAGATTGTCTGATGATCTCAATAACCTTGTATGTGTGTCACTAAGGAACTGAAAACGTTCTTTTAGATAACAAGGGGCAGCAGGATTGAAGAGTATATTGTAAAGTAATGAGAGAATATGAGCATTCCGGCGAAGTCGAATAGGTAGCCATTTGAGTTTTTTTCGAAAATCTGAAACGTGATCATATTTGCGCAGTCCAAATATAAACCTGATTGATAGATTTTGAAGACGCTCAAGCTTATCTAATTGTTCCTGGGTGAGATCGAGATAGCTGGCATCAGCATAGTCGAGGATCGGCAGAAGAAGAGATTGAGCAAGGGCAATTTTTGTATAAGTTGGCAAAAAATTCTGGAGACGCCTCAGGAATTTTATTTAGGAAACAAACAGTCACATAAAAAACAAAACTTGTATAAGAAAACAATAGGTTCAAAAAGACTTCGAGTTCCATACAATTTTTAAGTGTAGCATAAGTAACCTACCCACAATTTATTTTAAACAGAATACACAAGCACATGCAGTCAAACATAGGTTACATTATTTTAAAAGTAGGTTGCGCAATTTAATTTTATAAGATGCTAAACTGTGGTTATATATATATCTATTTCGTTAAATTTACTTTAATTGTAATTTACTTTATATAATATGTCAAATACTATATTGAATACTGTTCGTGAATGGTAGTCGACCACATAGTATTTTCAAGCTATACCGGGGCTTATATTCGTGATTGGAATGGTGCTAGCTTAAGATCCAAAATCAAACTTCAAGTTTCAACATCAAGGTTCAAAGTAAAATTGTAAAATTCACAATATGACAGATGAAAGTTCAAAATCAATGTCAAAGACTTCTTTATTATATTAATAGTCAAAGACCAATTGAAAGTTAAAATCAGAGTTCGAAGTAAACGACATAATCAAAGTCCGAAGTCAAAGTGTATGTCAGGGTGTCGTAATGATACGTTGTACTGATGGCGACCGACCACGTCGTGTGTTGTGAGTTTCAGTGCGACTTTGACGTTGACTTTACTTAGAACATTCAATCTGTTTTCAATTTAACTATGGGAGAGCCATGCTCGACCGGCTCGACCGGAGTGGTACCACGGACGAACAGAAAACCGACGTGAAACAACGCTTATGTTGTGTTTCGTCGTGTGAGTGAGGTTACCGGACGCCCAATCACCTTCTTCCCCAATCCCTGACAATCCTCAAATTCCTAATCCCCAACCGGCCGGCAACGGACTTGTAACGCCTCTACTGTTCCAGGTGTCTGTGACCGGCACTGATTGTTTCCCATCACATGATCTGTCTACTCGTTTACCAATTTATTTTACCTGTTTTTTGTGTCGTCAACTCGATGAAACAGGTAAAATGGCTACTTTTGTACGGCAACGAACTTTTTTCTTATAATGTTATACATGTACGCCTTTATTTTTTAAAATACAAGATAAAAAATAAAATAATAATAATAATACTAGGAAAACAGATTGTGTTCGTACATGAAACCTACCTTGTAAGTCCTCCCGCAGGCGTGGCAGACGTGTGTAGGAGTGGGCGCGGGCCCGGCGTGCCGCGCGCGGCGGTGGCTGCGGAGCGCGCCGCGGGACGCACACGACTACACGCGGACAGACAGACAGACAGACAAACTTACTCTATACAAAATGTATTCTCACGTGCACCCTGGCTGGTTATCCGAGAGTGCAGCAAGACATACATAACTCTACGCCTGTCTCTCATGTGGGTAGGCAGAGCCTATGGGACGCCAATTACTACGATTCCTACATACCTCTTTCGCTTCATGAACAATCAGTCTTTTCATGCATGCTCGTCGGTTAAGGCGTTTTAATTTGGCCCTTCTTTCTGTAATGTAGTGTGTATTGATACCAACGCTTATGTATGGTAGTGAATCATGGGTGTGGCAGAAGAAGCATGAAAGCAGGATTAATGCGGTGGAAATGAGAGCCCTGAGATGTATGTGGGGACTAAAATTGATTGATCGAGTGAGAAATAGTATTATTAGAGAAAAGTGTGGATTGAAAGATGATGTAGTGACAAGGATTGAAAAGGGAATGTTACGCTGGTTTGGACATGTAGAAAGGATGGATGAAAGTAGAGTAACGAAAGAAGTATACAGAGCGGATATGAATGGGGCCGTCGGCAGAGGGCGCCCTAGACGGAAATATAGTGATTGCAGCAATACTAGCGACCAATACAACTTGGCCTAGTGTCCAGTGTATGTAGTATACTCACGAAGGTGCACCCTGGCTGGTCGCACGAGAGTGGCGTTGCCTTGAGATGTACAGCGAGTGTATGCTCGCGCAGTCGGGACTCCTTCAGGAAACGTTTGTCGCACTCGTGACACTTGTACCTATATAACGAAATATAGTTATAATAAGTGGCCGAGTGAATGAGTGAGTGAGTTAGTGAATTAATGAGTAAGTGAATGAGTTAGTGAAATAATGATTGGACGGATGAGTGAATGAGTGTGTAAGTAAGTGTGCCGGTGAGTAAGTGAGTGAGCGAATCAATGAAGGAACGAGTGAATGAGAAAGTAGGTAAGCGAGATGAGTGAGTGAAAAAGTGGGTGAGTGAGTGAGTACTTACTTGAGTGCGGCGGGGTCGCAGTGTTTGAGGCTGTACTTCATGTGCTGCGTGTACGACATCTTGTTCTTGAAGCTGAAGTCGCACTGCAATACGATCACACGCCACGGCGTTTAGCGGTTTATTATATTTATAGGTTTGTCAGTCAGGTTGCGAGCTCTGTCATAGCTTGACTTGACATGAACTATGTACTGGATAAAAGACAAGTCGCACTCGCAATACAACATACGAATTTCAAATTAATTAATAAAAAATAGCATGACATAACATCACGCCTTTTATCCCCGAAGGGGCAGGCCGAGGTGCATATTATACCACTGTACAATGTAACACCCACTTTTCACTATTTATGTTATGAGTCTCATGTAATAGGGGGTGAGCCTATTCCAGACTCCGTCCTACTACTGAGAATATTTAAAAACTCAGTAATACTTTGCAAGACCCGGGAATCGAACCCGAGACCCCATGCCCGGCAGTCGCACTTACGACCACTCGGCCAACGAGGCAGTCAATAAAAAAACTATAATAAAAAAAAATCGGAAATATCTGTCATCACGTGTCTCAACTCGATGTCACGAGTACTTGCTAGTTGACATATGTATAATATTAGACAGACGGCCAAACTGCCGTACTAACCTGGTGACAGTATAGATGCGCGGGCGCGTCGTGAGTGACGAGATGTACAGCGAGCGCGGCGCGGAACAAGAACCGCTTGTCACAGCGCGGACACGAGAATTCCTTCTCTCCGCCGTGGATACTGACAGACAGACAGACAGACACATACGACACAGTTAAAATACATATATTCAGCATCACAATTTTAGCACTAGCGTCCACTAAAATCTTATATTGGACTAGGTTTGAGCATAAAGCCATATATTTTTATACTAGCTTTCACCCGCGGCTTCGCTCGCGTCACAAAAAGATAAAAAGTAGCCTGTGACATATACCAATACACATATCACCATCTATACTAATACTTTTGTTTTCCTTCGGGAATATCAAAATTTTCCGGGATAAAAAGTACCCTATTATTTAATCCCGACTTCTAAATTTACGTCTGCAAAAATTCAAAGCAGGTTTAGTAGTTACGGCGTGAAAGCGGAACAAACAAACAAACTCACTTTCCGATTTATAATATTAGTAAGGATAGTAAGGATGTATTTGATGGGCCAACGTTCCCACATTTTTATTGCGACAATCCCATCACAACCTCCCAAAACCGCTGCAACTCCTGTAAGTCAGGATCTACAGTAGATACAACCATGAAAACACCGGAACACTGAAGTCCGGCGCGTGACAGGGACGTGAGTAACTGTCTTGGTTCCCGCAACGAAATGAATCAGAAGATATTATAAGAGGAGAAGAAAAAAACGGTAGTTTCTACTTCCCTCAGTGAACTACTAACGTTTGATCAATATCTCGCCTGGTGGTAAGCGATGATGCGGTCTACGATGGAGCACGTCGACCCATAAGCAACCTATTCACTCGGGCCTTGAAGACACCCAGGTTATACCCTTCAGGAAATACAGACTCTGGGAAAGAGTTCCACTCCTTAGCAGTACGCATAAGGAAGCTTGATGCAAAGCGCAAATATGATAATTGGTAGTAGTGTGTGATGCTATAGTACCATATCTGTGATAGTACCTTTCGGGTTTAGCCGTATATCGGACTAGTCGCTGTGAACCTGTAGCCGTATATTGGTAGCAGTGAGTGGGATATATAGTATTTAAAACTCCAATTGTATTCAAGCGTCAAGTAAAACTATTGAGTTAAAAACAATTTGAAATAATTGGGTACCTTGCCGACTAGTCCAATTCAATACTTTTTTCTATGAATTTTGTACGAGATTATGTATTTCTTAAACATTTGCTGGAAATATACTAAAATTAAGTTGGTCATAAAATCAATTAATGAAATTCTGATTATATTTTAATACTTTATTGTCGAAATTATTTATTTTTGATTAAGAAAAGTACCCAAAAATTGTTTTTATGTTGGTAAGTCCATATATGTATAGAGGAAGGCTTTAGGCTATAAAACCTCACGGTATGATCGAACCGCGCGAAGTATCTAGATAAATATAAAAATATACGTACAATAGATGCGTCCGCAGCGAGGTCCGGTCCCTGAATGTCTTCCCACAGAGGTGACAGCGCTGGCGCTCCGCATGACTCTTCATGTGTAAACGTAACTTGCCCAGAGAACTGATACAGAAGGTGGGGTAAGTAGAAGTTGATTTATAACCTAACCACCCCCAAACCATCTCTTAACTTAGTTACATAGCGTGACATAGCACCTAAACTAACCCCTTAATTTTTCCGTTAGGTATCACTTACAAGTTAGTGAAAACCTTTACTAAAAACTTATGAGAGGTTCGTGAAAACGAGTATTTAAGTGGGAGTTGATGAGAAGCAAATGAAGGTAGAGTTAATAAAGGTGAACAATTGACATATTAATAATAATATAATAATATTGATTTTTATCCAGAGTGACTTGTAACGACGTATTCTTTTCGGAGGGTGATAATACAAATTAGACCTGAGGTCACTCTTGAATTGAATGAGCGTCTTATTTCTTTAGCCGCTTCACTCTGAATGAGCGTCTTATTTCTTTAGCCGCTTCACTCTGAATGAGCGTCTTATTTATTTAGCCGCTTCACTCTGAATGAGCGTCTTATTTCTTTCGCCGCTTCACTCTGAATGAGCGTCTTATTTCTTTCGCCGCTTTACTCTGAATGAGCGTCTTATTTCTTTCGCAGCTTCACTCTGAATGAGCGTCTTATTTATTTAGCCGCCTGACTCTGAATGAGCGTCTTATTTATTTAGCCGCTTCACTCTGAATGAGCGTCTTATTTATTTAGCCGCTTCACTCTGAATGAGCGTCTTATTTCTTTAGCCGCTTCACTCTGAATGAGCGTCTTATTTATTTAGCCGCTTCACTCTGAATGAGCGTCTTATTTATTTAGCCGCTTCACTCTGAATGAGCGTCTTATTTCTTTAGCCGCTTCACTCTGAATGAGCGTCTTATTTATTTAGCCGCTTCACTCTGAATGAGCGTCTTATTTTTTTAGCCGCTTTACTCGGATTGAAGCTGCTAAAGAAATAAGACGCTCATTTAGTTTAAGAGTGACCGTCACACAGATGAGGCAAGCGTGTGCAAAAATTTTGTAAATAATGATATTTTTGAAATTGACCGTTTTCCTTTATACTTTACTAATCATGAAGTTATTAATTTATTTTTGAGTATTTTATAAATTATTTAAAGTTTTTGGATAGCTTATAAACCAAGGAAGTTTATCAAATAGTTTGTACGGTTAATGTAATATCAATTTTTATGTATTGTATATATATAAGTATTGATGACGTTTCAGGGTATGAATGCAACACTATACGCACTGGTAGGTGTCTCCGCAGCGCGCGCAGGCGTGCGTGGGGGGGGGCGCGGCGTGCGCGCGGGCAGCGTGGTCCGCCGCCACGCACACGCGGGACCACGCGCCGCCGCACGACGAGCAGCGCCATCTGGGGGGGGGACATCTACAGATCTATATCTCGCGCGGGACCACGCGCCGCCGCACGACGAGCAGCGCCATCTGGGGGGGGGACATCTACAGATCTATATCTCGCGCGGGACCACGCGCCGCCGCACGACGAGCAGCGCCATCTGGGGGGGGGACATCTACAGATCTATATCTCGCGCGGGACCACGCGCCGCCGCACGACGAGCAGCGCCATCTGGGGGGGGGACATCTACAGATCTATATCTCGCGCGGGACCACGCGCCGCCGCACGACGAGCAGCGCCATCTGGGGGGGGGACATCTACAGATCTATATCTCGCGCGGGACCACGCGCCGCCGCACGACGAGCAGCGCCATCTGGGGGGGGGACATCTACAGATCTATATCTCGCGCGGGACCACGCGCCGCCGCACGACGAGCAGCGCCATCTGGGGGGGGGACATCTACAGATCTATATCTCGCGCGGGACCACGCGCCGCCGCACGACGAGCAGCGCCATCTGGGGGGGGGACATCTACAGATCTATATCTCGCGCGGGACCACGCGCCGCCGCACGACGAGCAGCGCCATCTGGGGGGGGGACATCTACAGATCTATATCTCGCGCGGGACCACGCGCCGCCGCACGACGAGCAGCGCCATCTGGGGGGGGGGACATCTACAGATCTATATCTCGCGCGGGACCACGCGCCGCCGCACGACGAGCAGCGCCATCTGGGGGGGGACATCTACAGATCTATATCTCGCGCGGGACCACGCGCCGCCGCACGACGAGCAGCGCCATCTGGGGGGGGGACATCTACAGATCTATATCTCGCGCGGGACCACGCGCCGCCGCACGACGAGCAGCGCCATCTGGGGGGGGACATCTACAGATCTATATCTCGCGCGGGACCACGCGCCGCCGCACGACGAGCAGCGCCATCTGGGGGGGGGACATCTACAGATCTATATCTCGCGCGGGACCACGCGCCGCCGCACGACGAGCAGCGCCATCTGGGGGGGGACATCTACAGATCTATATCTCGCGCGGGACCACGCGCCGCCGCACGACGAGCAGCGCCATCTGGGGGGGGACATCTACAGATCTATATCTCGCGCGGGACCACGCGCCGCCGCACGACGAGCAGCGCCATCTGGGGGGGGGACATCTACAGATCTATATCTCGCGCGGGACCACGCGCCGCCGCACGACGAGCAGCGCCATCTGGGGGGGGGACATCTACAGATCTATATCTCGCGCGGGACCACGCGCCGCCGCACGACGAGCAGCGCCATCTGGGGGGGGACATCTACAGATCTATATCTCGCGCGGGACCACGCGCCGCCGCACGACGAGCAGCGCCATCTGGGGGGGGGACATCTACAGATCTATATCTCGCGCGGGACCACGCGCCGCCGCACGACGAGCAGCGCCATCTGGGGGGGGGACATCTACAGATCTATATCTCGCGCGGGACCACGCGCCGCCGCACGACGAGCAGCGCCATCTGGGGGGGGACATCTACAGATCTATATCTCGCGCGGGACCACGCGCCGCCGCACGACGAGCAGCGCCATCTGGGGGGGGGACATCTACAGATCTATATCTCGCGCGGGACCACGCGCCGCCGCACGACGAGCAGCGCCATCTGGGGGGGACATCTACAGATCTATATCTCGCGCGGGACCACGCGCCGCCGCACGACGAGCAGCGCCATCTGGGGGGGGGACATCTACAGATCTATATCTCGCGCGGGACCACGCGCCGCCGCACGACGAGCAGCGCCATCTGGGGGGGGGACATCTACAGATCTATATCTCGCGCGGGACCACGCGCCGCCGCACGACGAGCAGCGCCATCTGGGGGGGGGACATCTACAGATCTATATCTCGCGCGATATATGGTATTAGGCTCACCCCCTATTACATGGGACTCATAAAATGAACAGTGAAAAGTGGGTGTTACATTGTACAGTGGCATAATGTTATGTATGTAAAAAGGAGTTTGTGATATGATGACATATAATAGAGGAGAATGGAAAATTAATGTTCAAAGTAATATTATAGTGACGTACCGGACGCGATGTCGCCGTACATGCGCGCTGAGTGCGTGCGCGTCCTTGCAGCGCACCGTACACACTGAACACACGTGGGGGCCCGCGCTCTGGGAACAATACAATTATTCCCTAAATTCACAATCACTAGAAGGCAGACAACGAACTAGGGACTCACAGTACACATTGACCAACATCACATCAACAGCCTATGAATGCCCACTGCTGAGCAAAGCCTTTTCTCACACGGAGATTGTTTGAGCATTAACCACCACGCTTGCTCAATGCGGGTTGGCGATTTCAAACTTACAATTACAAATTATAAGACCAGGTTTCCTCACGATGTTTTCCTTCACCGTTTGTCAGTGGTGTCTAAACAATCTTAGAAACTACATAGGTATAACTTGGAAAAGTCACATTGGTACTTGCCATTGGTAGGTTTTAAACACGCACCCTCATGCATTAAATTAGGTCTTTACCTTCGAGCCACAACGACACTTAACATTGAGCTACGCAAAACCAGTATACACTAAGCTTTGAATGCGTGGATAAATCAACCAAAGCGAGGTATTGATACACTGGTATTGCATAGCTTGATATGACTATAAATTATACTCACAGGGTCATGTTTCTTCATATGGTTTTCTAGCTTGGTGCGATGGTTGAACCCGAGCACACAATGCTGACACCGCCACACACACTGGGTGTACCGTACCGCGCTCGCCGCCGCCGCGCGCTCCGCCGCCACCTACGTACATACGTATTGTACTCACTCACTCATACACTCATTCACTCACGGACTCGTACTCACTCACACTTAGACTCACTAACTAATTAATTGATTCATTCATTCAATCACTCATATACTGAATACACTAATTATACACACGACTACACTCACTCACTCACTCACTCACTCGCTCACTCACTCACTCACGCACCCACCCACTCACTCACCCACTCACTCACTCACTCACTTACCCACTCGCTCACTCAATATACCTGTTCCCAGCTGAGTATCTCCATGGTGATAAGCCCGGAGTCGACGTTGAGTTGTTGCAGCTTGCGGCGGACGCGGGAGTTGTCCACTATACCGGCCGGACGCTCGCGGCGACCTCACGGTAAAAGAAAACTCTTTACATAACTTAAACTCCTAAAGTAGCGCATAAATGGAGAATTGATATGGCGTGTTGATAAATATTAATATAACTATTGCGATGCAGCGTTCATATTATTTTTTTTATGCCACAAGTCCGCCGCAATCTACCTAAAAACCTGCTGCAACTCCTGTACACCAAGATCTACAGTAGACACAACCATGCAAACACCGGAACAATGAACAGAAAAAGGGCAGACAGATGACGTGATAAAAGCAATAGGATAGTTATGAAAATTAAAAAACTTATTAGTCCGTCAGTTAAGTTTAGGAGTGGAAGGTCGTTACGTCACAAGTGCTGCAAAAATGTAGTGTTTTGTGACCTCACACGATATTACAAATTAATATATCGTCGAAAGTATTTCATTTTGTGTGTCTAATGTTTTAAATTAATCTACCAGACGGACATAAATCTAAAATTTAGGAATCTACCAATAGAGCGTCACCCTTGGACAACTGTAATACTAGAGGAGTTACTATTCCGTTGCCGACCTTTTAAGGGATTTGGGAGGGGAGAAATTGGGCTTTCGAGCGCACACGGAGAAACACAATGCAAGCATTGTTTCATGCCAGTTTTCTGTGAGGCCGTGGTACCACTCCGGTCGTGATCGGATATGAACAACGTCTAGAACATGTCTTGTATGTCGCAACGAAATATATCAGAAAATAATTATGAGAGAAGAAAACGAAGTTTTCAATTACTATTCAATCATTTAATTCGCAGGACAAAACAATTTTATTTTTATCGTGACCAGAGGGCTGGTCTATTTCTCGGTCAGAGGTTATTGCCATACAACATGCCAGCCTTCTGGGTACTTTCCCTGACGTCGATGCGGACGAATTTTTCGATGCGAAATATATATATAGATAGATAACGAATAAAAGTGCCTACTCACCTTTCTTCTTCTCCTTCTTAACGCTAGTATCAGTCTTCTTCTTAGTAAGCGGCTCCTCGTCCGAGTCGTTGAACTCATCTTCTGTTCTCTTCTTACTCTTACCTTTGCTTTTTACTTTATTTTTCTTTTTCAAACTTGTTTCTAAAGCAGGCTGGAATATAACAAAGTAATGTTTATGAAGAAAGTGTTTTTAGAATAGTGAGTTAGTGGAAGTATGTTTTAAAGTGAGTTAATGAGTGAGTGAGCGAATGAGTGAGTGAGTGAGCGAGTGAGTGAGTGAGTGAGTGAGTGAGAGAGTGAGTGAGTGAATAAGTGAGTGAATAATTGAGTGATTGAGTATGTAAGTGAGTTACTCATTGAGTCAATTACTGGCTGCCTCGTTGGCGGAGTGGTCGCAAATGCGACTGCCGGGCAAGGGGTCGCTTCCAGGGTCAGGCAAAATTATTATGTACTGGGTTTTTTTCAAAAAACTTAACAGTAGCACGGAGTCTGGAATTGTGTCCGGTATATAGCAATAGGCTCACCCCCTTTTACATGATACTCATAATATAAATAGTGAAAAGTGAATGTTACATTGTACAGTGGCATTAAGTGCCGTAATGTGCACCTCTGCCTACCTCTTCGGGTATAAACGGCGTGATATTATGTTATGTGCATTACTGAGTGAGTAAGTGAATGAATGAGCGAGTGTTTAAGTTATTTCATCTATAATTTTACAATTTAAACTGTCAAACACCAAGCGGTCACCGGTGACCGCAACCTATTGTTCTTTATTGTGTCTATAATGATGGTACTCAACGAGTTAATATTCTTAACAAGCAATTCGAGAACTATACCTTGAGAACCTCTGCACCTTGACTATCATCATCATGGAAGTGGTCCTCTCCATCTAGTTCTACCTTCACGAATGGGAGAGGAGTGACCGACTCCTCCGGATCACTCTTGAACTCACTTGGAGTGATTGTAGACTGTTCAGTCTTTATACTGGCTTCTGACTGTAACTGAAAATTGAGAGTTTATTTGAATGTGAGCAACTATCAAGAGAAGCTTCAACTGTTATTACTAAAACTAAAAAATATTATTAGTGTTTATGACCAACTGTCAAGAGAAGGAAGCTTCTCTGTATATTATGGAATCAAAAAAAATATTATTAGGGTGTAGACTTTTTTATCTGCAGGCGACTGTCCAGTTGGCCGAGTGTCCACATATGTTACTGCTGGCCAAGGGGTTGGATTGATTCCAGGGATGGGCAATGTAAAAAAATTCTTAGTAGTAGCACAATCTGGAATTGTGCCCGGTATATGGTAATAGGCTCACCCATTATATCATGAGACTTATTACATAAATAAAGAAAATTAGGTGCTACATTGTACAGTGGCATTAAGTGTCGTAATGTGCACCTCGGCCTACCCCTTCAAGGATAAAAGGCGTGATGTGAAACCTTGCCCACTCACTCACCAGGTACTTGTTGACAGTATCCCGTGCCTCCAGCACTTGTCTCCGGAACTCCAAGAACTTCACAATACTGTCCTTGCACTCCGCACATAGACGCAGACTTAGTGCGGCAATGTCCTGTTGTTATATTGAATGCCTTAGTATTTTAAAGTATATTTTAAAGTGTCTATAATGACGGTACTCAAAGAGTTAATGAAAAACTTAGTTACTTAAAAATTGTTGTATGATTTAAATCTCTCACATGTTTGACCACAAATTGTCCGTATTAATATTAGTTTAAATAGACATTCTAATACAAAATAACTTTCTTTACTGGCCCACTTAGATTCCTTATTTAAGTTTATATTTCTCATCAAAATCATTGAAAAACTGTCGCAATAAGTTCCATACAGAATCAAATAACTAGAAAACTATTTGATTATCTCAATAAACTAATAGAAAACAACTTACAGCGTCCAGAATATTGATTATATCGTAATACACTTTCTTGATATCGTATTCTGTAATTTCTGTAATGATCTGCTGGTTCTGAGACAAGCAGCCCTCACAGACGGCGTCCCCATGATCCTCGCTATCATTCATACTCATTACTTACACCTCAAACCTTACAATTTTTATAAAAATATTCATTTTCTTGCAAATATTTTTTGCTCTACACTTTCACTTTTTTTAATTACAACAATCAACAACTCTGTTTGTTTGACAGTTAGTACTGTTTCGGAACTTAGGCTTTTAAGCCAATTGGATTTTTATATTGGTATTGGTAGGCATAAGTCCACTTTAATTTGTTACCTGGTAGATAAAGCGCCGATACGGTCTGTCAGAAATTTAATAGAGTAATAGGATTTCTGTTAATTTACATCTAATTATGTATCTTAAGACTTAAAGTTAATATTCTACGCAAAGAGAAAGACAAAGCAACCATCAGCTAGTTTTTATTATAAGTAGGATTTCACAGTATATTTACATTCCCATACAAGAAACATAATCCTGAACATTTTTAGCTCTAACACTGTGGCCTACAGGAAGGTTTCGATCCAGCTCATGTACGAAGTAATACGAGTATAGCCTGTTGGATTCCCCGACTGGCAGCCCTTGATATGACTGAAGGAAACCAGCCCGATCTGTAAATAAAATTGAACAGTAGTTAGTAACGAAGCTTAGATAAGATGGATCCCAGATATCTCGTACATATAGATAAAAAGTTACTTTTTACTATATTTTACCGAGCACAATCTCCGCCTCATTGAAAAATTCCAATGGGGATCGGATATCCAACCGAGACTCCTTATACAGCACCTACACTTACCAAGGACACAAGATACACTAAACAAAGAAAATACACTGTTTAAAATAATACTTACCAATAAATCAGTATTTCCGGAGTAGTAGCGCAGTATGAGGGGGGCGCCACCGTCGCCGCCGCAGGGCCCACGGCCGCCTGTACCGTTGGTACACAGCTGTGCGTCACTGAGTGAGTACCAGAAGTACTCGTTGCAAGCTGCGTTACTGATCACTGGGACGTACACGTCGCGCTGAGCTTGATTATTCACTATGGGGTTGTCTGAGGAGAAACAAAACGCATAAGCGCTGACTATGCCTCCTGCCGTGCAAGCTGTGCTTGCAAGTGTCTTTTATTTTGTTGTATATGTACTTCTCTGTGATTAACTCATAAATTATCATTTAGATTTATGTACGATTTTAAAGGTTTTGGTCTACATTAGAACTATTCTATTCTTTTATACACTTTATTACACACTATTTTCTATTATACACATAACGGTTTCCCATTATGTACTTAGTTTAGATGAGTATTTTTTCGGAGAAATATTTAAAATGGATAAAAATCTAATATTTATTTATTCAATTTACACAATGTGCATGTAATTTATCCAAAGTAGTGGATAAATACCCAATATTGAAAAATCGCACATCTCATAATAGGTACCGTGTGTCATTTTCGAGCACCGTCCCTGACGACACGAATAAGTCGCGGGTGCAAGCTAGTATTGTTTAAAAACTTTAATGTAAGTTTTACTCACTCTCCCCGGTCATCCCGAAGCCGATGACTTCAGATTTTCTTCCCACGAACGTGTCATTCATACCCTTTGGGAGCGGTATGATGTTGATGGAATCTGCAACATATATAACATCACTATTGCAGTAGATGTAGATATCTTTATTATTTATTTATTTTTAGCCAATGTCGTCCCACTGCAGGACAAACTCGTCTGTTCTTCAAGCTTTCTGTGGCCAATTCTTTACATATCTTTATTTAAATTAAAATGAACACTGTTTTATTATGTCCTAGTCGCGTTTACTAACACATAATTTTATTAAAAATTCAGATTCGGACCAACGTTGATCACATAAAGAATAGGGTACTAGCCAACTAATGGGTACTTTCCTTAATCAAAAATATATTTATTCGACTATTCAATACAATAAAATATTAAAAAATAATCACACTGTCAATGATAATAATTTTTCCAGCAAGATTTTAAGAAATAAGTTTGCCGTTTGTCGCTAAAAAAAGTGACATCACAATACATAATACATATGATATGCAATATACAGATCTATAAAATATTGTTTCAATATATTATTTCTATAGGTATTTATAGGTTTAGTATACATACTATACATATTACGTAACAATTTTCTTTATAATTTTATTGTTCTTTTAATTGTGTTCTGGCGTCGCATCAACCACTTAATTTCTCCGCCCTTCTCTATGGTTGACTGTAAGGGCATTAAGTCCGTCATTCACTGTTGTATTTTGTAAGAAGAAATAAATAAATAAATACGCACGGCTGAGGAAGACTCTGGATGTCGTTAAGACAGCGATATCGTGTTGCAGTCGCTTGAAGCCAGTAGCTGTAGGATCGTAGTCCGGGTGTAGAGTGTACATTGCTGAGAGTCGGGTGCCGCCAGAGAACAGTCTTATAGAGCCTAACACCACCTGCCGTCAATGTTGCCAAACTTTATTCGAAAAATCCAATTTTTATTCAGATTAACTAATGAAATAGCGCAACAACAATCAAATTGGGATATGTATGCTTTTGCCCAACCTCGAACCTGTCCCAAATTTTATGGGACCTTTAAGCTAAGATACGTGTCATAACATCACTCGAAGGGACACATAATGCCACTGTAAAATGTAACACACACTCTTCACTATTTATATTACGAGTCCCATGTAATAGGGGGTGAGTCTATTGCCATATACTAGGAATGATTTCAAACTCCGCGCTACTATTGAGATTTGTTTTAACCAAGTTAAACTTTCTCCTTTCGGGAGTGGACTGGTATCAGCTCTGTGGAACAACTTTTCCGCCTGGCCAATGACAAGGACCAATTCAAAAAGTTAACGGCCAACCTTCAGGAATGAAGTGGCACCATAAGGAGAAGAAGAAACTTTGCCCGACCCGCGTGGCATTATCCACAGCAGTCGCACTTGCGACCACTCGGCCAACGAAGTAGTCATCAATAAAGACATGTGACATTCAATAAAATATTTTGGATTTCAACAACCTATAGGCTATAAGTAACAATGCATAAGGTTAGTTTACGTGCTACGTCACGCAAAGTGACCTTTAGCTAAGAGATGGTTTAGGGCTGTGTGCAGGACGACGACAATTAGAGACCTTAAGCTCTAGATAATAAGTAGTCATTAGCCTAGATAATAAGTAGTTATCAGCTTAGATAATAAGATAGTGAATAACATTGTAAACACTTGCACAAAAATTAACGAATTAGTAGTTTACCTGAGTGAATTCCATAATTAACGTATCGACGGGCTGTACTTCCTATCGACGCCGTCTTCCTACACCATTTATAACCGTAATTTATTAAATTAGTAATAAAATGGTGTAGGAGACGAGCAAATAAATAAAACATCATTAAAATGGGCCCCGGAAAAAGCAGTTCTGTTCTGTCCAGAAGAGGTCTCCCCGCCCGAAAATAGAGCGAGACGGAGAGAACTTCTCCTTCGTTCGGGCTGGGATTGGACAGAGCAGAAAATGCGATCGGTGTGCCGTCACCGTACGTACGGCACACAGTCCGGGGTAACTATAGCAACCGTTTTACAGCCCGTCGACACAGTTCGTCGGCAATCATCGGTCACAGTTTATCGGAACCTCGTGCAGTTTGGGCAACCGCTGCCCGACAGCTGTCCTAGTTATCTTAACTAGCCTCGGTGTCGCGAATCGGCAAAGTCGCGACCTAGTTATACTAGTATACCGAAATCTGTTGCAAGATCGCGGTTCGGCAAACCCGCGATCAAAACACCGATAACTCTCAGTAACTTTAGTGATAACGCGTTTTCTCTATTAACAGTAAAATTGTGCGAGTATTTGAGTGTTCGTGGAAAGACATAATAGTGTATAAACTCCGTAGAATTAAGTATAGAATAACTATAACTACAAGACAAACTGTTATCAGTGTCGTTATCAATTTCGTGCAAAATCGTTTTCGATCGTGGAACTCTTGTAGTCCAAAAAGTTATGCTTGTAATTCGCCACGAACGCTTTTAAAGTGTGTGCAAAACTAATTACTAGGATAAGAAAGCTTTTCAAACATTTATAATTTAATTTAGTATCGATTATCGTACTTTTCTAAATCAGTGACAGTGCAATAAATAGTGTTTATTTACAAAGTGTCGTCTTTTATTCCACAATCCCATGACCGGCGCACGAGGTGTGTACAGTATAGACGCACAGGCTGGTTGATACAAACGGTCATTGGATTTATACCAATCCTGGAACTGCTGGAAGTTGCCCCACACTATGGTTTTCTCCTGTGTCGTGGGTGTGTTTACAAACATACAAGTTCACATACACAATGACACACAGACGAGGAACAACAATCTGGGGATCACATAAAGAGTTGTTCCGTGCGCGACACGATGCGCGGCAGCCAGTTGCCCAGTCACCGCGACAACTGTACAGTCAACTAATAGTATCGAGCAGATCGTAGCAGAAATGACTGCCTCGTTGGCCGAGTTGTCGCAAGTGCGACTGCCGGGCAAGGGGTCTCGGGTTCGATTCCCGGCTCGGGCAAAGTATTAAAGGGTTTAAAAAAATCTCAGTAGTAGCACGGAGTCTGGAATTGTGCCCGATATATGGCAATACGCTCACCCCCTATTACATGGGACTCATAACATAAAAAGTGAAAAGTGGGTGTCAAATTGTGCAGTGGCATAATGTGCATGGGATAAAAGGCGTGGTGTTATGTCATGTTATGTAGCAGAAATCAGTAGGTAAGTCAGGATTCGAACTGCGAAGGTTGAAAACGTATTATAAAGAAATTCACGACGTTAAGTCGTTATAACTTACGGTGATCTCGTCGGCCTTCAGGTCCCCGTCCCAGGCGCATTGAGCCGCGGTCAGTACTCGTCTGTCACTGATCAGCGCGCCGCTACATACTGACGTCTGACCAGTAGTCAACGTGATCACTAACCCCGCCTGCAACACACTCGATTATATACCTTATGGCGATACGGAATAGAAAGATAATCGTCTTATTTTAAACTACCGACCCGCCCCGGCTTCGCTAATATGCAATATGCATGTATTATATATAAAAACCTTCCTTAAGAACACTCTATCTATTTAAAAACTCGCGGAGAACCAAACGGGTTATCGGGGCTCCGGCTCGACGTGCAGGAGAAGGAATGGGGTGGTTTTTAGTCAGTAAGAGTCTGACACTCCCTCCCGCCACACCTAGGCGGGAGCAGTCATTCGATGATATTCCCCACTTAAAACAAAACTATATATAAAGCCGAATCAATATCCGTTGCGTAGTTTTAAAGATCTAAGCATACATAGGGACAGGCAGACGGCGGATAGCGACTTTGTTTTATACTATGTAGTGATGATTATTATTTTAGCACTCCTCCATGTGCTTTGGTGGTGATGGCAGTGACGGTGAATCGAGCAAAAAGGATGCACAGTTCTACAGTACTATACTTTTCTCGAAGCAATTTCGACACCATGACTCTTACAGCCTGGCAAAAAAAGTTTGGAATATATGAGGTCGCTACTATCGTACCTTGGCAACCTGGTATACTACGACTCAATCGGTTTTGATATTTGTTATTTTAATCGAGACACTATGTTCGGAGGATAATAAAATTTATTCATGGGATACTAGCTTTTACCTGCGGCTTCGCACGCATCACAAAAAGATAAAAAGCCTATGTGACATATGCTATTACATACAGCGCCATCTATACCAATAATTTCGTTTTCCCTCGAGAATACCAAATTTTTCCGGGATAAAAAGTACCCTATTATTTAATCCAGACAACTTTACGTCTGCAAAAATTCAAAGCAATCGGCGTTACGGCAGTTACGGCGTTAAAGCGGAACAAACAAACAAACTCACTTTCCGATTTATAATAGTAAGGATGGTCAAAGTGGGTAATTCAGTCCAAGTCCATTTTTTTCCAAGCTGTACATTTGTCGCCACCCCTTGTTTCCGCAGGTGTTGTAACCGATTACTGGACTATATATTTGACAGAAACTAAGACAGCAGCGCTCTCTGATAAGCCTGAACCTTTTACACTGCTTGCCAAACGGGGCTACGAACATCCAACAATGATCGGTCTCATGATGTAGGTGTGTTGGCTAATCTAGAGGTATATTAAGGTTACCGAAACTACGAGTCCCAAATACCCCTCGCCCACTTTTTCGATTCCTGAATCCCCAACAATCCTCAAACTCAAACTCAAAAGCATTTATTTCAATTAAACCGTAATTTGGTACTTTTGAAATGTCAACAAATATGAAATAAATAATAGTCTGTCAGTCTGTCCGTCAGTGAAGCTAGGCGCTCGTTCCAAAATGTCGATTCGAGTGGAGAAGAACGAGCAAGAAATTTCTCAAATTCCTTATCCCAAAAGGCCGTTAACGCACTTAGCGGTAACTTGTAACGCCTCTGGTGTTCCAGGTGTCCATGGGCGACGCCGATTGCTTACCATCAGGTGATCCGTCTGCTCGTTTACCGGTTTATCCCATAAAAACACTTACTACAAATGGATGTTCCTCAAGGTAAGAAGGTAAGCCTCCAGCTACTCGCATGGACTCTCGCAGACGTATCTCAGTGGCGGCTGGGATGCCCACACTCTTGTGGTACCCCAACACTCCCACACCCGCGCTAACAATACACAACACTACTAGCACCTTCATTTTGAAGACTGGAGGGAAATCACCACTCATTACCTTTATATCAAGCATCACTTGCCTAAACTTACACAGCAAAATATGTCCTTAACGTTATTGTCTGTATGTACAAACTCGAAAATGAATGAAGAGTATTTTATGCGATTTTCAATTACGAATGAATTGTATACCTATAATGTGATATTTCAAGTGGTACTACTGAGTTTCACGGGTGAAGCCATCAGTGGAAAACTAGTTCGAAGATAAGTGTGAAGAGTTATTCGTAAAATACGGGACTTAACATAATGTTAAGTGGTTTGTATAGGTAATGCGTTGTAATCAGCACCTTTTTGATTAAGAATATTGCAAAAAAGTTAAAAGCCAAAGATCTCTTCCTCTGCCTCTTTATTAATACTTACAAACTATTTCAGTATGTGAGAGTCATGCTTCGGCACGAGTGGGTCGCCTCAACCGGAGTGATATTATTGCTTTACTGAAAACCGACGTAAAACACTTGCGTTGTGTTTCGTCATGTGAGTGAGGTTATCGGAGGCCCAATTACCCTCTCCCCCTCCTCAGTCTCCCAAAACCCCGAATCCACCACAATCCTAAAATTCCTAATTCCCAAAAGGCCGGTAACGCACTGTAACGCCTCTGGTTTTTCAGGTGTCTATGAGCGGCGCCGATTGCTTACCATCAGGTTATCTGTCTGCTCGTTTACCGACATAATATCATCCCATAAAAAACGGGGTTTATACTACTATATATTGTTATTTTTTCTTTGTTCACTATGTTTATTTGTTAGCATGTAGTCATACATTTAAGTAGATGCGTAATTTATCTGTCATCAGCGTAAACACTTGAAGAGAAGTGTTACTGCATGATAGAGAACAGTATAGATATTAGTAATTTTATGAGCCACGTGGGAAATCTTTTACGTTTTACCTGGCACATAAAACAAGTTTCGAGTGTGTGTCTTCTTGAACCCAAACTTGTACCATACCAGCGCAACGAGCGCCAATCTATCAGATATTTTCGACATTGTTTAATTACATAGAACTACCTACTTCACAATTTTATTAGACACTAAGTTTACTTATAGAAAAGAAGCCTACTACCTACATGAACATAACATTACACCTTTTATCCCGGAAGAGGTAGGCAGAGGTGCACATTACGGCACTTAATGCCACCGTACAATGTAACACCCACTTTTCACAATTTATGTTATGAGTCTCATGTAATAGCGGTCATTACCCTATTGCCATATACAGGGCACAATTCCAGGCTCCATGCTCCTACTGAGAGTTTAAAATAAAATCGAGTACTAGTTTGCCCAACCCGGGAATCGAACCCGAGGCCCCTTGCCCGGTAGTCGCACTTGCGACCACTAGGCCAACCTACTACCTATAAAATAATGTTAAAAATTTTTTGCTTTCAAAGTTTTGCTGGTATTCTAATTCCTAACAGACATCGAAGACCCAATTTATATACCCAATTTATATTTATTATAAACATATATAATTTATGTAATATTTCTAGTATTTGTAACGTTATAAATATAATTAAATTAATCTGACAAAAAAATCACACTAAACTATTAAATAAAAAGAAAGTAAAAGAAAACAACAAAAATTATACCCTTAATTTAGGCGTCAACGTATTCGTCCGCATCACTATCACAGGGGAAAGTTCCCAGAAGACTGGCAGCATTGCCACGTTGAATGGCAATGCTTATTTTCTGTCCGAAGAAAAAGCCAGCCCTCTGGTCACGTGTAGAGTCGATTAGCCTACGGGCGATGTCTTTAAACACAGAGTGTGCACTGGGACCCCATGGCCCAAGTGTTTCGACCCCAAACGGCTCAAAACAGTAGTTACCCACTAGATTTGAATATTTACGCCGTTTGAGGGCCTCTGCCGCGGAAGCAGCTGCACCAACGCATGCAGCGGTGCTTAAAAGATGTGATGGCGCAAGGGTGTCTACACACGTCGCGTCCCACACCAAAGGCCTACCCATCTTCCAAGGCAGCAACGACATACCATCTGGTCTTTTGCCGTCATCACGTACCAAACCATTAGGTTCTAATACGGCTGGTACACCGGCTGAGGCAAGAGCACGACGAATGATGTCGTTGATGCTGGCATGGCGAGCTATGCGGCCTGCACTTCTGCAACAAGAAAGACCATGGTGTCCCAAGCCATCGACTCTTTCTCCACAGTGACAATAATGCGGAGAAACACAAGGAGCACCTAAACGTAGGCATACAGCTAGGCGGAACGTTATGTCATCCAACATAGTACCAACATCCTTCATAGGTGAAGGGTGACGGGAGTGCCTGAAGCCACAATCCTGATTCCCATTCTCCCACAGCCAATAAGCGAGCTCGCTCTGCAGTATTAAGAGACGAGTTGATTAAAGACTCACGAATAACACTGCACAGCGGCACGTCCCACTGTCTCTGAGAAGATGGGTGAACAGGTAAATCCGTAAGTGGGCAAGCCATTTTCCACGCTTCCACTGCATCAGTCAAACACGGAACCTCAAAACTGGTCAGTGACGAAGAAAGAATTTTCCTGACTAATTCAGAGGTACTGTGGACCGAAGACAGAAAAGCTGGTAAACTAATACTTGAAATTTTGCGGACGCCGAGCCCTCCCATGCGAATAGGAAGAGTAGCTTGTTGCCAAGCTCGGTCATCCAAAGCCACATTAAGTATGGATGACAATGTGTGTCTGATAATTTTGTCTACGTTTTCTAAAATGTGTGAATGTTTCCATAGATGTGAAGCGCGGAGAATATAAGTAAATTTTGGTCCAAAACAACAGTACCGAATTAGGGTGAAAGCCGAATGTGTGTTGATTTTGTGTAATCTATCCGAAATGTGATTGAAATTTTGTATCTTGTCCTCGATGAATTTAGGAAAACATTCATCGAATATTGGTGAACCTAGGAGGTGAAGTGAGTACTTATCAATAATTTTGATATTTGGAGCTATTTGATTAAATTTTGCTAGAGTCGTTAGTCGGTCTGTAGAGTCAGGAATGTATAGTTCACATTTTGATAAATTTAGGTCAAGGCCAATAGAACTCAGTTTTTCTTTTAATATAGTCAAATCTTTTAAAACAATGTCAACGTCACCTCCTAGAGTTCCGTCGTTCCGCGGATACCGCACGATCTCTGGGGAGTCGGCGAACCTCCTTGCCGGATTACCGCCGTGGGATCTGGAGGCGAAGGTGCTCGCGCGCGTGTATCGCATGCGCGCGGATGCACGTCGCCGGGGTGAAACTCCGCTGCCGCGCCAGATAAGTGCGTGGCGGGATGAGCTCCGGCGCGATCTCATGGCGGAATGGCAGCAACGACTGTCGCAACCGAGGGCTGGGCTCGCTGCCATTGCAGCGGTAAGTCCCCTCTTTGAGGAGTGGCTTGAGAGACGCTACGGCGTCCTCACCTACCGCCTGACGCAGGTCCTCACCGGACATGGAAGTTTCGGGAGGTACCTGTGTCTGATGGGGCGGGAGGAAACGCCCGGGTGTCATCACTGCGAGGACCGCCCTGAGGACACGGTGGAACACACTGTTGCGGAATGCCCTGCGTGGGCTGAGCACCGCCGTGCCCTCAGGGAAGTGATCGGCGATGGAGACCTCTCGCGTCCGGGCCTAGTTCAGGCCATGATGCGGAGCGAGGGGGACTGGGATGCCGTCTCCTCCTTTTGCGAAGCAGTCATGCTGGCTAAGGAGGAGGCGGGACGCGCGAGGCAGCGAAGCGCTGCCTCCTCGCAACCCAGCCATCGCGAAGGACACACCGGGCGTCGGGGATCGCGGGACGATCTCCGGCCACCGTAAGCGCGGGCCTGCGGACGGCGAGCATGGGTGGCTCCCCGTCCGACCAGAAACAGACCCGAGCGTACGGCGCGTCGCGTTCCGCGCGCGCCTCAAAGAGCCATCAGACCACCACAGATGGGGCCCAATAGGGCCGATGCCGATTCGGAGTCGCGGAGAACCTAACGGGTAACCGGGGCTCCGGCTCGACGTGCAGGAGAAGGAACGGGGTGGTTTTTAGTCAGTAAGAGTCTGACACTCCCTTCCGCCTCACCCAGGCGGGAGCAGTCATTCGATGATTTTCCCCCCTTAAAAAAAAAAAAAAAAAAAAAAAAAAGAGTTCCGTCGTCTAAATACCATACATTAAATTTGGAATTTAGTTCACGAATAATAGGATTTATAGCTAAACTAAAAATGGCAGGCCCAAGGGGGTCTCCTTGTTGACAACCAACAGCCGATTCTATTAAATTGTCCTTATACAGTAATTTTGAAGGGTTTCTATAACATTGCCAAAGAAAACTGTAAATTTTGGGGATTTCTTTTAGAATTTCAGTCAACAAGGCGTCCCTGCTTACGGAGTTAAAGGCGTTTTTAATGTCAACCTTTAAGACGACCTCACCTTGGTTACTGTTTAAAAATGTGGATAGGGCATGTACCGCAGCCTCGCAGCCCCCTTTGCAACCAAAGCCTAGTTGTGAGGGCTGGAATTTGCTGGCCAAAGACTCATTGTAATAGGCGCAGCAAATTTTGGCTGCGATACGCCTGTATGTACAACCTACAGCAATGGGACGAATACCGCCATCCTTCTTACGCAGGGCACATAAGTTAGCCCCGTATAAGACATCGATGACGGATTCGTTCACATTGCCGGAGAGCATTAGATTGATTAAGGCCGTCAACTCCTTCAAAAGTGACTCACCAGCCTCCCCGGCGCTCGAACACACGAGATCTTTCAGATGTTGTGGTGTCAAGCCGTCGAGGCCGCCAGCTGAACCATTTCGAAAGGAGTCAACGGCCTCGCGAACCTGTTGGGCAGTAATCGAAAGTGAATGGAGTTGAGGGTTTGGTGGGTCAGGAAAGATGAGGTCATCTGCCGGGGAAGGATGTTTACTCTGCAGGGTTGTAACTACCTCTGCAGAGTACGTAGCGACCACATCACTACTAAATAGAACCCTAGCAGCACCACGGATATCGCCATCCGCTATTTTGGACTCTACATGATGCAGCAAACCTTTGTGAGAAAAGTGTACTGATAATTTAGGGTCGAAAGTTTGGGTTTGAGAAAAGCAATTATCTTTGATTTGGGTTGTTAAAGGTTTTTTTGTTGGCCAAATCTTTCTGCACATGTAGAATCCTAAATGGAAAGGTTAATAATTGCTCCCAAGCACTTAGAGAGTTCTCTCGAACCACAAGACCAATGCAGCGTGCTAAACTTGAAGCTACGGATGCTCTTGCACCTCGAGGAACTCTCTTTAAAACTGGAGTTGTGTTTTTAAATTTTGATAAGGTTTGCCAAAGTTGTAGTTGCTGGACAGGGGTTGGTGAAGGAGCTGAGGCTGACACTAGGCAAGGAGCTACATTTTTGGGTTTATGTACCTTGCCCAAATGAACCCTCAGACCCCGTTCACCCTTAAAAAAACGTGCTTGAGAGCAATGTGGGCATCTTACCAGAGTCCCATCCAGGGGTGCGGCAGGTTGACTGGCACTCTGTCCGGCGTAGCTGCTGCATCCAATTAGAAAAAAATTACAAAAAAATCCAATTAGAAATAACTAAACGTTACTAAACCGTCAAATTCAACACTATCTATCTGTCAATGTCAAAATCACAATATGAAATTGACAGCAGTTTCATAACATGAACATAACCTCAAAATCGTAAAATAAACACGAAAAAATGCGATTAATTAATTTATTTCAGTCTTTAAAATCGAGTTCACAAGTGCAAATAGTGCGTTATAGTTCGGAGTATGTGCCGAAAGCGCTTCGTAGTTTAAAAGCAAAGTCTACGCGGAATACAGTACAGTATTATGTGGATTCCTTCCGAGTGAGAGCCGTCGGTGGGTCCGGCGGAGATGGATGTATATCATTCTTAAGTGCGTGGTGTAAAGATCATGCAGGACCTGACGGAGGAGACGGTGGGAACGGAGGACATGTTATTTTCCAGGTAGCAATTGCAGTTTTTTGAAATCCCTTTCACATAATATTTTGATGTGTCTAACAAGTGTCTTGTAAGATTTCGGAAGTGCTAGTGCACACTACACACACTAGTACCTATCTCTGTAGTCTTATAACAGTAACGAGGCATTTTTGTTCATTTTATTATCTCCATAGAAATCTATACTTTATAACCCAATAGGTACCTTCGGTCAGAGTGTAGCAAAGGGTGTGCGAGAGATTTCGATAGCCTAGCGGTCTTCTGGAATTAGCCAGCTAGGGGAGGTCTGAAAGACGATAGCCACGCAGTCTCTTTCATCCCTCCACTTAGGGTTGCAATTATCTTGATTAGTTTATAGTAAATTTATGTAACACTGAAATTGCCAATAAAATTAAATAATCATCAAGATCACTGGGACCGGGGTGTTAATTTCACAACCAGCAACCCTACATAAATATTTAAATGTGTTTCCTTAGTCGGGTATACAACACCCACAGGAATGGTAGAGTTGGCAAAATGTACTTACCTATTATGTTCTGCCATCATCATAAAACGTCTGTAACACCACTGTGGCGACGCATGCCACATGTCAACGGATGACGTCACAAGAATCCTACATCGCACATGCAAAGTTTACAAACGAATAAACACGGATAGAAAATCCCAACGAACAACTGTTGGGCAGAAAGCCCGCCAGGCACTATCACCTCGCCTGGTCGGAGGATCCTCCTTTTCCGATCTTAGGGAACTATACTCTCTGTTCCCTAAACCACAATTAAAAAAAAACATTTTTTTTAAAGAGCAATGATGGAGGTTTGTGTCTCGTTCTTCTCTATTCGAAACTACACTTTGGAACGAGCACCTAGCTTCACTGACAGACAGATTTATTACTATTATTTATATTTGATGTGCCGATGTTCGATATGCCGACGATGGATGCACAATAAAATTTTTAACGTTTATAAAGTATTAATTGAATTTATTGCTTTGAATTTATTTGAGTCTGGAAATGTGCCCGGTATATGGCAATAGGCTCACCCCCTATTACATGGGACTCATAACATAAATAGTGAAAAGTGGGTGTTACATTGTACAGTGGCATTGAGTGCCGAAATGTGCACATCTGCCTACCCCTTCGGGGATAAAAAGGCGTGATGTTATGTATGTATGTACTTTACCTTTGAGTTTGAATTGAATTCTAACTATATATTATCCTAGCTACTTCCGCGCGGTTTCACACGCTCTGCTCAGCTCCTATTGGTCGTAGCGTAATGTTTTATAGCCTATAGCCATCCTTGATAATTGCGCTATCCAATACAAAAAGAATTATTCAAATCAGATTTGCAGTTACAAAGATTTAAACGAACAAACAAAAAACTAACTCTTCCGCTTTATATAATAGTATAAGATTTTGTTCTAGGCAACATATGCAGCGAAGAGTTTGAACCACTGCAAGTCCGTAGTGCAGGCGCTTCCAGGGGAGCGCGGGTTCAACAAGGACTGCAATGGAAAGAACTCGCAGCATGTCATTGTGCCCGTACCTATCGGTGAGTAATGCTTGAAGAAACACTTCGAAACAAAGAAACGGTAGCCATGCAATCATTGTAATTTGAATTTTGTGTTCTTAAATATAGGTACTATAATCCGAGACGAGACGGGTCGTGTAGTGGGTGACCTGAATTCGGAGGGGGTGATGTTTGTCGCGGCTAGAGGGGGTGCGGGGGGCAGGGGGAACAAATTCTTCCTCACCGATACTGAACAGGTACTGTGTCATATACAGACAAGTTATATAGTATGCAGGCAAGGAAACAAAGATTGGTTCAGTACAGAGACAGTAGCCATTGGTTGTCTAGAGCCGACTGAGTTACAGAAGACATGGCTTCGTTACAAAGCGTACAATTCAGTATAACGACAGCTACTGGCTCTGTACTGAAGCAATCTTTGTTTTAAACTGATCTCATATAAATGAGATTTTCTTTTTGACCTGCTGTATAATTGTTTGTCCGCGTTCATCTCGCGACTGGCCGAACCGATTTCGATGCGGTTTTTAAAGAAGTATTTCTTTCTTAACCTATGTATTTACATGTCTGCCTCGTTTACCGAGTGATCGCAAGTGCGACTGTCAGGCAAGCGGTCTCGGGTTCGATTCCTTGGTCGGGCAAAGCAAGTATAGATTTAAAGGATTTTTTTTAAAAATCTCAGTAGTAGCACGGAGTCTGGAATTGTGTCCGGTATATGGCAATATATTCACCCCCTATTACACGGGACTCATAACATAAATAGTGAAAAGTGGATGTTACATTGTACAGTGGCATTACGTGCCGTAATGTACATCTCTGCCTACCCCCCCTTCGGGGTTAAAAGGCGTGATGTTATTTGTTGAACCAGGTTTCTCTACGTATGTGTTTATGTATGTATGTCCAATAGAATACAACAATATTGTTACTCCCCCCCCCTCCCCCAGGCGCCGAGCGTGGCGGAACTCGGCGCTAAAGGAGAGAGCAACGTGTATGTCCTAGAGGTGAGGTCCATGGCACACGTCGGACTCATCGGGTACCCCAACGCGGGTCAGTATAATTGATACAAGTACTTTATTCATTGGTAATGTATGTCGTATATAAGACAAAGTGTGAGCGTGCAATGCTTCGGCACGAATGACCCGGCTCGACCGTAGTGATACCACGGCCGAGTAGAAAACTGACGTGAAGCAACGCTTGCGTTGTGTTTCGTCGTGTTACTGAGGTTACCGGAGGCCCAATTACCCCTTTTATTGTATTGTATTGTTACCTACCTAGAATAGTTAAATAATAAGCTTAGATTAAGTATAAGTGAACAAAATGGAAATAAATATATTTGTTTGTTTGTTATGGATATTAGAAATTTGAGGATTTGGGATGGGGGGAGGGGTAATTGGGGATCTGGTAACCTAACTCACACGACGAAATACAGAGCAAGCATTGTTCCACGTCGCTTTTCAGTGAGGCCGTGGTATCACTCCGGTGGAGCCGAAGCATGGCTCTCCCACACTTTTTCTTTATTTATTTATATTTAAACATTAGATACATTTATCATACACACCTTATACAATAAATGCAGATACACATTATAAGTAAACTTAAAATGTACATATGTTGGCCGAGTGGTCGCAAGTGCAACTGCCGGGCTAGGGGTCTCGGGTTCGATTCCTGGGTCGGGCAAAGTATTACTAGGTTTTAAGAAAATCTCAGTAATAGCACGGAGTCTGGAATTGTGCCCGGTATATGGCAAAAGGCTCACCCCCTATTACATGGGACTCATAACATAAATAGTGAAAAGTGGGTGTTACTTCTGCCTACCCCTTCGGGGATAATAGGCGTGATGTTATGTAATTAAAATATACATACTATAACCTTAATTAACATTAACTATTACACGTAATCCCTTAATAACCGTAAAATAACTTATACAAATAAAACCAAAGGAACATAAGCACAAAAAACATTAATTAAATTTACAGGCTACTTATACAAGTGAAATCAAATATTTTTTCTATGGATTAGGAGGCAATCGAGCAGACGGATCACCTGATGGTAAGCGATCAGTGCATTAACGTCCAGTTTCTATAACCCATCTATCTGTAGATTTGCTTACTAGAGATAGAATGTTGACACATTTTGTATGGAGCTCATGTCAAAATTCTATCTCTAGTAAGCAAATCTACAGATAGATAGGTTATTGAAACTGGACGTAAGTATATGATAGAACAATTCTGTGTACAGGTAAGAGCACATTGCTCCGCGCGTTGACTCGCGCGCGCCCCACCGTGGCACCGTATCCGTTCACGACGCTCAGACCGCATATTGGTACGTATATCTTTATATATATAACTAGCTTTTAAACGCGGCTTCGCTCGCGTCCCAAAAGGATAAAAAGTAGCCTATGTGACTATCCATCCGTTCAACTACCTTCAGTTAAAAAATCACGTTAATTAGTTCTGCCGTTTAAGACAGGCAAACAAACAAATAGCTTTCCGCTCGCGTGGAATTCGGTTATATCGCGCTATTTAGATTTTTCCAATAAGTAGGTAATTCGTTGACTGGTTTACATACAGCGCCATCTATACCAATATTTTTGTTTTTCCTCAGAAATATCAAATTTTTCCGTGATAAAAAGTACCCTATTATTTAATCCAGACTTCTAACTTTAAGTCTGCAAAATTTTAAAGCAATCGGTTAAGTAGTTACGGCGTGAAAGCGGAACAAACAAACAAACAAACTCACTTTCCAATTTATAATATTAGTAAGAATTCTTCTGTGAGTGTGTATGTCACTGAACTGCTCTCAAACGACTGGACCGATTTTGATGAATTTGAATTTTTTGTGTGTGTTCAAGGGGATCTAGGAATGGTTTAGATTCACAAATCAGCCCGCCAGATGGCGCTGCAGTCGATGTTTAGGTTATTTATCCTAAACAGCTGAACTAATTTGAATGAATTTTTGTTTATACATTCAAGTGGATATGCAGGACAACGTCTGTCGGGTCCGCTAGTAAATATTATATTATACTGTATCATAAATATGATAAGTTAATTATACGAATGTGATATATTTTTATTGCACGGTTGGCGCCGTGGCGGGTTCGATTCCCACACGGAGCAACTCTTTGTGTGATCCACAAATTATTGTTCCATGTCTGTGTGTCATATGTATGTGAACTTGTATGTTTGTAAACACACCCACGACACAGGAGACACTCAGACCGCATAGCGTGGGCACCAGGTTTGTCTCTTGTGTCGGGGGTAACATTATCGAATCTGCTCCCGCCCGGGTGAGGCGGGAGGGAGTGTCAGACTCTTACTGACTAAAAACCACCCCGTTCCTTCTCCTGCACGTCGAGCCGGAGCCCCGGTAAAGTCAAAGTCAAAATCATTTATTTCAATTAGACCAGGGTGCTTACTCTTGACACCAATCTCAATTTCAATGCAATTCCAATCCAATAAAATCTCAATAATGATTCAATGTCAACACTATACAACCACAATCGTAGCTGTTACTATAGCATTCAGAGTACGGAATATAAACACAAACTCAATACCATTTAATTCATTCAATATCCACGCAATACGGATGCAATGGGCGCTAGTGTTGCAACTCAAGAGTACGAAATTTCACAATACCAATGTCGATCGATCGGAATTGGATTCAAGAGTAAGCCACCTGGAAGGCACTTTTGAACGTCAAACAATAAAAATTTATAAGTGAAGCTATTTGCTCATTCCAAGGCGTAGATTCTTATGGAGAAGAACGAGCAAGAAACTCCATAGGTTACTGTTTTACAATCAGTAACCCATTAAGTTCACATTGGTACTTGCCGTTGGTAGGTTTCGAAGCCGCGCCCTCATGCATGAGGACTTCTTAAACCTCCGGGCCACCACGACATTAAATATCACGCATAAAACATCACGCTACGGTCAATTGGCGCCCAGCAGAGTGGCTAAAACAGCACGGTAGTAACTAGTTTAAAATACTAGTAACAATAATGTTTTTCTTCCCTCCAGGGATGGTACCGTATGATGACTACGAGCAGGTAGCGATAGCTGATCTACCGGGTTTGATTCCCGGCTCGCACAAGAACTATGGTTTAGGTATGTATGCTATTCTATTATTATGTTTTTCTAGTATAGTTCACGACTGTGGATCTCGAGGTCCGTGGTTCGATGTCACATGAAACAATATTGAAAAAAAATTGGGTGACTGTTGGTCTATGGGACTTCTGCACATAAAGCGATTTGCCATAATCTCCGCATTTGGCGTATCAGTTGGAAATCCCCAATGTATTTACTATATCTGCCTAGTTGACCGAGTGGTCGCAAGTGCGACTGCCGGTGTCGGGCTAAAATATTACTGGGTTTTTAAATACGTCTCAGTAGTAGCACGGAGTCTGGAATTGTGCCCGGTATATGGCAATAGGCTCACCCCCTATTACATGGGACTCATAACATAAATAGTGAAAAGTGGGTGTTACATTGTACAGTGGCATAATGTGCCGTAATGTGCATCTCTGCCTACCCCTCAGGTAATAAAAGGCGTGATGATATACTAATTGCTCTGTATGTATATGAAGTGAAATCAAACTGAATTTGACTGCACGGTTGGGCAATCGGCCACCGCGCAACGTGTAGCGGGTTCGATTCCCGTACGGAGCAACTGTTTGTGTGAGCCACAAATACTGGTCAACACTGATTTTGCCACACGAACTTTGATAGCTAATTTTGTTTTATCAATCTACCCTCATCATTAAATCACAGTTTTCATTTGTCTGTTAGCCTCATATTTGTTGTGATACGGTAATACTCATAACTAGTACTACGGCGGTAAATTAACAGAAACGCTCACAAGTAAATCGTCATAAAAGTATTTGTAGTTGAATTTGAATATTTTTTGTGATTTATTAATCCTGTGAACATGTCGAGGAAGTGTAAAAATAACCCTAACTCTTTTTGTTATATCTGCGGAGAACTTACATTCAAAAAACAACGACGAAATTTTACGAATCTTGTGCTGGAGTGTTATCACCAATGTTTTGGTTTTTCTGTCGCCCATCAAGACAAATTCTCATGTCATGTCTCCCCTCATGTCTGTTGCATAACGTGTGTGAAAAATTTAACCGACTGGAAGAAAGGTGCACGAGCTATGCCTTTTGCTGTACCCATGATATGGACTGAACAGCGAGATCACGTTTCGGATTGCTATTTTTGTCTCACTGACTTAAAAGGTATAAATTACAAGAAAAAAAAAACAGTTATCTACCCTAACGTATCTTCTGCTATAAGACCAGTCTCTCATTGTAAAAAAATGCCAGAACTAATACCAGTTGCAACAACGTCTGTTGATAACGACCATTCACAACCGTCTACTTCAAGTCGGTCTTTTGACGAGAATGATGACTTTGAGTTTGAAGGAATTGAAAAGGAGCCACATTTGATAACTCAAGGAGACCTAAATGATTTGGTTAGGGATTTAAATTTGTCAAAAAAGCAGTCGGAACTATTAGGATCTCGGCTAAAAGAATGGAATTTGCTACATCATAATACAAAAGTTAGCTATTTTCGAAACCGTGATGAACACTTCAGAACGTATTTTTCTCAGTCAGATTTGGTGTTTTGCAATAACATAAATGAGATCATGAAAATGTTGGACATAGATTTTGAAATCTCTCAGTGGCGTTTATTTATTGATTCTTCGAAGGCAAGTCTAAAAGCAGTTTTATTGCATAATGGAAATATGCTTCCGTCTGTTCCTGTGGCCCATGCTTCAAATATGAAAGAAACCTATGAAAATATGAAAGTTTTACTTGAAAAAATAAATTACAGTACATATTCCTTCAAAATCTGTGATCTTAAAGTTGTTGCATTATTACTTGGACTTCAGCTGGGTTATACAAAATTTTGCTGTTTTTTATGTGAATGGGAGCCGAGACAGAACTAATCACTATATAAAAAAAACATGGCCTATGCGTGCATCGTTAGTTCCTGGCCAAAAAAATGTAAAGTATTTACCCCTTGTAGAGCCAAATAATGTGCTTTTACCACCATTGCATATCAAATTAGGATTAATAAAAAATTTTGTGAAGGGAATGGATCGCAGTGGGAGTGGATTTTTGTACCTAAAAGAAAAATTCCTTAAAATAAGTGATGCAAAAATAAAAGAGGGTATTTTTGTTGGCCCTCAAATCAGGGAGTTAATAAAAGATTCAACATTTGAAGAAAAATTAAGCGGTTTAGAAAAATGTGCATGGAACGCATTTAAAAATGTTGTTGCAAATTTTTTGGGCAACCACAAGAGTGACATCTACAGAGAGTTGGTTAGCGAGCTCTTATTGTCATATCAAGCATTAGGTTGCAACATGTCACTCAAGATCCATTTTTTAGACTCGCACCTGGATTTTTTTCCTGACAATTTAGGGGCTGTCAGTGACGAGCACGGCGAGAGGTTCCACCAGGACATTTCTAGTATGGAAAAGCGGTACCAGGGAAAATGGAGCCCAAATATGTTAGCGGATTACTGCTGGACAATTAAAAGGGACCAACCAGAAGCTAAACATTCAAGAAAATCTTAAATTATTAAGTAATTTATATAAAAAAAAAGTTTGATTTACGAGATCTGTATTTTTTCTTAATATTTTTAATTACTCAATAGAATAAAATCCTTGGCTAGCAAATTTTTTTTAACTGTTTATCTTTTCTTACAATCACCAACTAAAGTAAAAAATATCAAAAAAGTCCGTGTGGCACGAAAAAGTTTGAATTTTGTTGACCAGTTTATTCCGTGTCTGTGTGTCAACTTGTATGTTTGTAAACGCACTCACGACACAGTGGGGCAACGTTTTTACACATACATAACATCACGCCTTTTATTCCCGAAGGGATAGGCAATAGGCAGAGGTGCACATGTAACACCCACTTTTCACTATTTATGTTATGAGTCCCATGTAATAGGGGGTGAGCCTATTGCCATATACCGGGCACAATTCCAGACTCCGTGCTACGACTGAGATTTTTTTTAAACCCAGTAATACTTTGCCCTACCCGGAAATCAAACCCGAGACCTATTGCCCGGCAGTCGCACTTGCGACCACTCGACCAACGAGGCAGTCTAAAGTAGGCAAAGATTTTAAAATCAATAAAAGCATTTGAAGCAGATATGTTCATTCAACCGATTGAGCTAAGACTTTGTGTACACGTATAGTTTGTATGACCATAAACCCAAGGATACAGGAGGGAACCGATGAGCCACGATGTATCGGCCTTATATCGTGCGACTTCGCGAAACTTCGCCGGACATATCTGGCGACATCACGAACTTTTGTCTCACAAGTCACAAGGCAGGCGCATGTCGTGCGATGTTGCCAGACATGTCGTGCAAAGGACGGCAACGTCGCGCTACATCACCCAACGTCGTTGGCGATACAACGTGTTGCATGATATTTGTTCCCCCTTTTTTAAAAATCATCGAATGACTTCTCTTGCCATAGTGTCAGACTCTTACTGACTAAAAACCACCCCGTTCCTTCTCCTGCACGTCGAGCCGGAGCCCCGGTTACCCGTTAGGTTCTCCGCGACTCCGAATCGGCATCGGCCCTATTGGGCCCCATCTGTGGTGGTCTGATGGCTCTTTGAGGCGCGCGCGGAACGCTCGGCGCCGTACGCTCGGGTCTGTTTCTGGTCGGACGGGGAGCCACCCATGCTCACCGTCCGCAGGCCCGCGCTTACGGTGGCCGGAGATCATCCTGCGATCCCCGGAGTGTCTCCCGCGACGGCTTGGGTGTGAGGAAATTTGTTCCCTCACGCGCTCCGCCTCCTCTTTTGCTAGCATGACTGCTTTGCAAAAAATAAGAGACGGCATCCCAGTCCCCCTCGCTCCGCATCATGGCCTGCACTAGGCCCGGACGCGAGAGGTCTCCATCGCCGATCACTTCCCTGAGGGCACGGCGGTGCTCAGCCCACGCAGGGCATTCCGCTACGGTGTGTTCCACCGTGTCCTCAGGGCGGTCCTCGCAGTGATGACACCCGGGCGTTTCCTCCCGCCCCATCAGACACAGGTACCTCCCGAAACTTCCATGTCCGGTGAGGACCTGCGTCAGGCGGTAGGCGGTAGGTGAGGACGCCGTAGCGTCTCTCAAGCCACTCCTCAAAGAGGGGTCTTACCGTTGCAATGACAGCGAGCCCAGCCTCCTCCTTAGCTAGCATGACTGCTACATTTATCCCCTAGTGTATCCTTGCCTTAAATGCATAACTATGTAAAAACTAGTTTTAATTTGTATTTCGTTGTTGCAGGGATACAATTTTTGCAACACGCTGAGCGGTGCAGAGGTCTAATATATCTCTTGGACGGGGCTCAGGATCCCCAAGAGCAGTACGAGGTGCTTCGCTATGAGCTCTCACAGTACAGTGAAGCCCTAGGCCGTCGCCCCTCGACCCTAGTTATAAACAAAATAGATTTGCCCGAAGCGCGAAAGACATATGAAATACTTAAAGATAAGATGTCCGTGATTGGTGTATCGGCTAAAACTGGACTTAATTTAGATTTATTATTACAAGTCGTTAGGAAAATGTATGACAGCGAGAGTTCATAGGTGTTTATATTTATTTTAGTAATGAGACGACATGTCGTTCAGTGTACGAGTAAGAAAACAAAGATTGCTTCAGTACAGAGACAGTAGCTGTCGTTATACTGAATGATGACGGGGTATGTAAATTAAATATGTATTTAGTCCGTCAGTTAGGTAATGAATAAATATATGATGAATTATATGAATAATAGATGACATGAATTCTAGTGTGGGAGAGCCATCCTTCGACACTGCTGGGCCGGCTCGACCGGAGTGGTACCACCAACGAGCAGAAAACCATAGTGAAGCAACGCTTGCGTTGTGTTTCGTCGTGTGAGTGAGGTTACCGGAGGCCCAATTACCCCCCTCTCTAGTCCCCGTCTCCTGAATCCCCGAATCCTTCACAATCCTCAAATTCCCAATTCCCAAAAGGCCGGTAACGCACTTGTAACGCCTTTGTGTTCCAGGTGTCCGTGAGCGACGCCAAAATGAAATGTACCTACATAGAAGTGACGTCACGCGACATTTCAAATTAATATAATGTAACAATACTAGCGGACCCGACAGACGTTGTCCTGCACAATGCACATCATATAATAATAATAATATAATGATAGGTGTAGATAAATAACCTAGATATCGACTGCAGCGCCATCTGCCGGACTGATTTGTGAATCTAAACCATTCCCAGATCCCTTTGAACACACAAAAAATTTCATCAAAATCGCTCCAGTCATTTGAATGAAGTTCAGTGACATAAGTTCACTCACAGTAGAATTATATATATCAAATCAAATCAAATCAATTTATTTGTGAACACAGGTTATACAGAAGGGTGTTTAACATACATTAATAGCATCTCTATGTTCTACCAATAAAATTGGTGTACAAATAGTTATTAAGTTAGGCAGGTACCAAGCATTATTAATATATTTAAATTAAACAAGTATATAAGAATCATGATGGTATGTCAAAATTTATCATTTAGAAATAAGTCAATAGAATAATATGTCTTGTCAATTAAAAATAATGTCAATTTACGTTTAAAAAGTCTAATATTATTTTCATTTCTTATATATTTAGGCAGTTTATTATAATTTTTTGGAGCCATTGCAAAGATACTGTTCCTGTATAGTGCAGTTCTAGATTTTAATAAGTGTAACTGGTCACAACGACGTTGACTGGTTACTCGGTCAAAATTATTAAAATTGTTTTTAACGAACATACCAGTCTCATAGATGTATAATGAGGGGACCGTCAAAATTTTGAGGTCTTTAAAGAAAGTGTAGCAGCTGTCGGTAGACTGCAGATTACAAATAGCCCTAATGCATCTTTTTTGACACTTGAATACCATTTCTTTACCGGTTGCATTCCCCCAGAAAATTATTCCATATCTTAATGTTGATGCTACTAGACCATGGTATGCTGTCAACACTGTTTTTCGGTTTGCAGTTTTATTTAACATGTGTAGAGCATAGGAATATTGATTTAACTTATTACACACCTTATCTATATGAACATTCCATTTCAATGTTTTCTGTATACTTAGTCCTAGAAATTTTGTTACATTTATTTCATTAATTCTTTTTCCGTGATATTCTACGATTAAATTTTTGTATTGATCCATTCGCTGTTCAAATTTCATTATTGCCGTCTTTTCTAGGTTTATGATCAAATTATATGTTTTAACCAATTTACAACAGATTCAATGTTAGCATTTATATCTGCTTCTAATGTTTCTAAGTCATCACCATCAAATAGTAAGGTACTGTCGTCTGCAAACATGGTCATTGGATATGTTGATGATGTTGGAAAGTCATTTATGTAAATAATAAACAGAGTCGGGCCAAGGACACTACCTTGTGGTACGCCGTAAGTAACAGTTCTCTGACCAGACCTATAAGTTACCTCGCTATCTTTGGTGATTCTACTGATAACTGTCATTTGCCGTCTGTTATGTAGGTAGGATTCAATTAGACTCAATACGTTTCCTCTAATTCCATATGCATTTAGTTTACTTAGGAGTATTTTATGATCAACGCGATCGAAAGCCTTTGTCATGTCCATGTAAAGTGCTACAGCTGGTAATTTCTTATCTACTTGACTGCTAACTTTATCTAGAAAGTCGTATATGGCCATATCAATGGACTTGTTCTTCCTGAAGCCTTTTTGATTGTCAACTAGTAAATTATTTTTTTCAAAATATGAAGTAATTTGATTATTAATTACTTTTTCGTAAATCTTAGAAAATATTGGTACCAGAGCAATAGGTCTGTAACAGGACATATTTTCTCTGTTGTCTTTCTTAAAAAGCGGTTTTATTATAGTAATTTTTAATTCACTGGAAAAGTCCCACACTCTATGCTCAAATTAATAAGATAACTCAATATTGGTGCAATAATGATGGATACGTGTTTTATAATTTTAGTAGATATATCATCGTACCCAGTGCTAGCTGTGTTTTTGAGCGACATTACAATACGATGGATGTCAACCGGTGAAGTAGGGGACATGAACATCGAAGTGTTTTTATTATTATTAATCGTCATTTTATAAGTGTCAATATTGATATGGTCAGTTAATTTTACTTGATCTACAAAGAAGTCATTAAAAGCTTGTGCTATTGCGTCAGGATTAGTTAATAGTTTTTGATTACAGTCGATTTTCATTATATATTCATTTGGTATAGTGGTTTTGTTCCTACTGATGACTTTCCATGTGGCTTTCCCTAGATTCTGAGCTGTGCTGATAAATTTATTATTGTGTGCCCTCTGCGTAAGATTTATTACTTTTTAAAACGGTTCGAGTGATTTTTTAAAATTCAGTTTATTTTGTTCATTAGGCAATCTACGGTACTTCCATAATAATTGTCTTTTCCGTTTGCTACAAATCCTAATACCGCGGCTTATCCATTTTGATTTTATTTTAGTACACATTTTAATTCTGATAATCGGAAAACATAAATTATAAAGCAATGCAAACCACTCATAGAACAGCTTGAATGCCTCATTTGAGTCCGGTTCCTGATACACATCGGAAAAAGTAATGCTCTTAAGATAGTTTTTAAATTTATCTATGTTTTCCATAGAGTAGTCTCGTCTTGTGGTAAACCAGTGATCTAAACTGCATGTTTTTTTTAACTGGGCACCGCAGAACTTGAGCTGTATGATCAGATACTGCTAGTTCTAAGACTTTACCCCTGGCTCCCCGCACATTATGGATTATATTATCTATGCATGTACCACTACTCAATCTAGTTGGTATGTTTATATCGAACTTAAGATTGAAGCCTGTAATTAGATACTTAAATTGTGTAGAATTGTAAGTGTTTTTTAGTAGGTCGATATTGAAATCACCGCACAGTACCACCTTTCTATTTATATGAAATGAAACTGAACTTAAAAGATTATTTAGATTATTAAAAAATTTCAAGGTTTCTCTTTGAATTGTTGCTATGCGGGCTTCTGTATACACATATTACTATTATGTTATGATCTGTAAGTTCGACTGAGCAACACTCAATTACATTTGGGACACTGTATCTTTCCATTGACTCCAAAACTCGATACTTAATTCCGTGTCGTATCATTATACAAGTACCACCATGTCTAGATTTTCGAGTGAAAAAGGTTACAAGATTAAAGTTAGGAATAAACAGCAGATTTACATCATCCAAAATCATATTATGCTCGGAGAAACACAGTACATCAATAGTTTCACCCAAATCACACAACTCATCCAATGCAACAGTAAACATAGCAGATTTATTTAAAAGCCCGTTTATATTTTGGTGCATTATGGTCACATTGTTATACACGAAAGTTATGGTTTTGAGGAGAGTTATTTTTATTTTTGAAACATCCTATGACAGGTTCAGAATGAGCTACTGACATCTCAGTTATAGTTAGCAATACATTTTGTAAAACGTTACGCATTCCATTATTATTTATTGTTCTTTCTACTTTTGAAAACATTGTGTAATCGTATTCTAAACTCAGATTAGTATCAAAACCAAATGCATAGTCAAACGTTTGTAAATCCAAGTGTAACAAATTATTAAAAGTTTCTATACGCCAGTTATACATCGAAGAATAATTACTCAATTTAAAAGTGGGTACACATATAATAATATTTGTATGCTGTACTGTAAGTAGTGCCTCTCTCAGTTTGACAATTATGTCCACATAATTTTTTGTTCGTTTAAAATCCTCTTCTCCGATCAAAATAATGCAGTAATCTTCAAAATTATAATCTATCAGTTTTTTATTAATATCCCTAACAAGATGCACAGTATCACAGTTAGGCGAGACATAATGACAGATTTGATAGTTATGGAATGTTTCCTGAGCCAGAGACAGTACCTTATTAGTTTTGTTTGTGCTAATGATGCATAACTTCTTTGTGGTGTCAAACACGACATCACGGTCACCTTTGTTCTCGTGCGGACCCGTGTATCGCGAGCTAGTGCTCAAATTACTTGCGCTGGTTTGTATTGATTCCATCCGCAAGTTTTCTTTAATTTGTCCTCTTTTTGGTTTGTTTTGTTGACTGCTACGAGGTGTTGATGTTTGTGAGCCTTTTCTGGGTGTGTGTGCTTCACTTGATAGTTTTTTAGTGGCTTTCTTTATAACCTCGTTTATAGTCGTCAATTCGCCCAATGACTTCCTAAGTTCAGTATTTTCGATGTTTAGATTTTTTATTTCTTCATGTGCCGAATTGAGTTGTGATGTTAACTGTTCTATTTGACTTTGAAGTCCTTGTACATATTCGTTACTTTCATCCTTTGATATGTTTGGTAAGCTACTTGTGCTGCCATCTATTGTCGAACTATTGAGACTATTTTCTTTCGACTCATCATTCAAAGAACGCGTTCTTGTTTTTCGAAACGTTATATTTTCAAAGAAGTTCATTTTTGAAGAAATAAGTAATTTACGATGTAATAAATAGCACAAAAAGAAATCCTGTTAGTGGGAATCGAGCCCGCAACTTCACTATCTTAGTACTCTGAGGTGAACGTAATAACCATTACGCCACTCGTACATTATCTGATGTGGTGAAATTAATCTTGTATTTATTTATTACTAGCTTTTACCCGCGGCTTCGCTCGCGTCACAAAAAGATAAAACGTAGCCTATGTGACTACCCATCCCTTCAACTACCTTCAGTTGAAAAATCACGTTAAGTACCTTCGTTTTGCCGTTTAAGACAGGCAAACAAACAAACAGCTGTTCGCTTATGTGGAATTCGGTTATAACGCGCGTTTTAGATTTTTCCGTGGGAATGAGAAGTTCTGCCGCGGTAAAGCCTTGCTTTTCCAGGACTCAAACTACCTTTATACCAAAATCGATTCAGCTGCGTGAAAGAACAGAAGAAGTTATTTTCGCATTACCACAAATACCTCCTCCCATTTTAATTTAAAAGACTTCTATTTCCTATAAGGGTTATATTTGCAATGTTAAACCAAAACTGAGTGGTAAACTATATTATACGTTTTATTATCGAAAACCTAACTACTTTAGACATCTACTTAGAAAATAAACCACTTCACTAATCTAACCTAACTAATATAGCTACTGTATCAATCGACGTAGTCGTAAACAATGAACAAAGCGTCTTAGAACGACGAAAAAAAATTACTATAGTACTTTAAATATCTACCTAGAAAAAATAACACTGAACTAATCAAACCTACAAAGCGAACAAATAATAATCAATATAAGCGCTAGATGCGTACCCTAAAATATAGCTGATACTGAAGCTCGGAACCTATACTTTCGCCGGTAACGAAACCATAGCGCCATCTAACTCGATCCTAACGCCATCTATCGAGCATTGAAACAACAGCGTACAATATATTTGCTAATTGTTGAGTATTGTTGCCACTATGGTTTCGTGTACCTTTAACAATCTAAAATCTATAAAATACGCAACTTAATGTAAAATTGTTTGAACCAAAATTTAAAAGCGAAGAATACTTAAAAAACACAACGCTATTCCGTTTATAAACACTCAGCGCCATCTATCGCCAAGTAGCGTAACTACCACATAGACACCAATTTCGTGTACCTTTAACAACCTAAAATCTATAAAATGCCCAATTCAATGTAAAATGGTAGGAATCAAAATTTAAAACCGACAAAAATACTTAAAAAACAACGTTACCCCGTTGAATATATAATAATAAACACTCAGCGCCATCTATCGCCAAGTAGCGTAACTACTACATAGTCACCAATTTTGTGTACCTTTAACAACCTAAAATCTATAAAATACGCAATTTAATGTAAAATGGTTAGAACCAAAATTTAAAAGCGAAAAATACTTAAAAAATAGCGTAACTACTACATAGACACCAATTTCATGTACCTTTAACAACCTAAAATCTATAAAATACACAATTCAATGTAAAATGGTAGGAACCAAAATTTAAAAGCGATAAAAGTACTTTAAAAGCACAACGCTACCTCGTTTTATAAACACTCAGCGCCATTTATCGCTAAGTACCGTAACTACTACACAACGTTACCACGTTGTGTTTTTTAAGTATTTTTACATAAAAAATAGCAAATAAATGAGTCGAAAAGCGCACTGAATAAGTGTAGATTAACACCAAATAAGCGCTATAGATTAAAGCGTGAAATTTCCAATTAGTAGGTAATTCGTTGAATTGTTTTAGATGGCACAAAGCGCCATCTACAGGAATACACACAGCGCCATCTATACTAATATTTTTGTTTTCCCTCGGGAATATCACATTTTTCCGGGATAAAAAGTACCCTATTATTTAATCTGGACTTCGAACTTTACGTCTGCAAAATTTCAAAGCAATCGGTTTAGTAGTTACGGCGTGAAGGTGGAACAAACAAACAAACAAACAAACTCACTTTCAGATTTATAATATTAGTAAGGAAGTAAGGATGAACAAACATGTCAGAGATACCTTCAATAGGTTGTTTTGAAGGTAATTTAAAAATAATTAAAATATTCTATAATTAATGGTGTTTGTTTACAATAATATTGAAGTTAGTCACAGGGGTGGTCGTCAAGAGGTTTGTACACATATTATTTGTCCACAGTTACTTTCTTTTGGTTCTTGAACACTGCGTGATTGGTTTAGCTTTTAAAGTGGAGAACAGATATTTACGTTTCGCGACAACAGTACATATCTCTAAGACGCTTATAGATATTCACTTGTCAATAATGTCACTTGTTTATCATCACTAATAGTTCTTATATTATCGAGTTAAGCACTTAAACTGAAGTATTTAAATTTAATTTAATAATAATATACGGAGCTTAATGTTGATAGTACGGTGCGAGTACCCTCACATATATAAAGATATACAGTCGGCTCTAGACAACCAATGGCTACTGTCTCTGTACTGAACCAATCTTTGTTTCCTTGCCTGCATACTGAATGACTTGGCTGACGCCCGACATTGTCTAAGATTCAGACAAAATGTGTAAAATATATGAAAGGTACACCTACATACTAATTTTCTATAGCCAAGTGATTAACATTAACGTTAGTATTAACATTATATTGTACCCAAAGACTGCCTCGTTAGCCGAGTGGTCGCAAGTGCGACTGCCAGGCAATGAGTCGCGGGTTCGATTCCCGGGTCGGGCAAAGTATTACTGAGTTTTTGAAAAAATACTCAGTAGTAGCACGGAGTCTGGAATTGTGCCCGGTATATGTCAATAGGCTCACCCCCTAAAATAGTGGAAATGGGTGTTACATTGTACAGTGGTATAATGTGCACCTCTGCCTACCCCTTCGGGGATAAAAGGCGTGATGTTATATTGTTGTTGTACCCATATATTGTATTTGTATATACATAGATTAATTAAGTTAAATAGGTAATAAAAACAATACAAAAAAAATAATACATATGTATTTCATTTTTACAAGACAATATTTTTTAAATATAAAACAAAAAAAAATCAAGAATATAATACAGCACATCAACATGCCACAATGTGTCACATTAATATAAACCTTAAGACGTTGTGATAAAGTTAAAAATCTATTTAAAATAGGTGGATATTTCGATATGCTGTCCACGATCAAAATACATTCAAAGGGACTGTCATAAGCGTCTCATTAGTATCTACATCCCGGAGGTCAACGCGAGACTTGACATAGAAAGCAAATTCTATGAGTTCAGTCGACAAAACCGTTTTATTCAGACCCCCAGCTTGCAACATCCTATTGACATCCACCGACCAGAAATGATGACCCTTGAACGTATCAGCGTAGTTCACCGCCACGGTTCCCGTTAAACTGGCTGCGTAGTTAACTTGGATCTTCATTGTTCCTCTTGTCGCTATTAGGTCGGCGACCACACTCTGACCTGCTTTCAAATATATATCTAACCCAGTTTGTGAACCAACTGTCACCCTTTCAAATTTCAAAACAGATTCCCCCCATTTCGAGTAAAATGAAAAAGCCGCATTTCCAGAAACCCCCATAGCTTTAATATCGAAACCGTATTTAATGTCTTTCGACGCCGATATTTCGGTATACTTCTCCCAAACAGAAGAGACAGTATCTTCGACGTTTTGCGAAATGTGAGCTTTGAAGACCGTTGGCTTGGTACTCGTATTGTTCAAAGACTGACTGAATACCATGAACGGCTTGAAGTCGACTGACAAAATCTTTGATTCAACCGGCTTTAGGATCCTCGATACCTGTTCCCATTCATTAAGGACGTATAAATCCCCCCAAGGCGTCGGACTTTTGACGAACACATCGTCCGGTTTGACCCCAAAATGATTTTTGACTGCGTTTTTCAAATTTTCGTCGGTCAATTGAAATGTTTGGACTTCAAGGTCACTTATTATCGCTTCATTGGTTCCTATAGCGATGATGTTCTGTTGCCCCGTTTCGTCTGAAGCTATGACGTCAATCTCTATGTTAGCCAGCGTTAATATTGGGAGAAGGAGTAGAACTATGGCCGTCGCCGCCGTCATACTGTCGCGGTATATTCTGAAACAATTTATTGGTATTGGACACATCATTTTATTTTATTTATTTAAAACGTTGCCCCATATTCGGGTTTTCTCCTGTGTCGTGGGTGCGTTTACAAACATACAAGTTTACATACACAATGACACCCAGACCCGAAACAACAATTTGTGTATCACAGATAATTTTGTTCCGTGCGGGAATCGAACCCGCGACACGTTGCACGGCAGCCAGTTGCCTAGCCACCGCGCCAACCGTGCAATCGAATACATTAAGCTGTCGCGGAGAACCTAACGGGTAACCGCGGCTCCGGCTCGACGTGCAGGAGAAGGAACGGGGTGGTTTTTAGCCAGTAAGAGTCTGACACTCCCTCCCGCCTCACACAGGCGGGAGCAGTAATTAGATGATTTAAAAAAAAAACCAGAGCCGAATTATCCCTAAAGCAAACTAGGTAATAGCTTAGGGCGCTAGTCTATGGAAGGGCCCCATGATGTCATGACACGTGCATGCTCATAGAGAAACGGCGGCGTTAAAATAACTTAGAGGCGCCCATACTGAGGTGCTTGCCTTCTTTGTAAGGGGGAAATCATCGAATGACTTCTCCCGCCTTGGGTTACGCGGGAGGGAGTGTCACGAGGTTATAATATAATATCAAGGAACATCGCAAGAATTCTTTGTCTTTCAAATCCGGTGTGAAACTTACCAACGGAGGTACGTGTTAAATTACGCACTTTCCTTAATCAAAAATAAAATATTTCGACCGTCCAATACAATGAAACATTAAAAAATAATCACACTTTCATTAATTGATTTTATGACAAACTTAATATTAATATTTTCCAGCAAATTTTTAACAAATAAGTGTACTGTTTGACGCTAAAAAAACGTGACGTCACAATATAGTAAACAATCTCGTACAAAATTCATAGAAAACTGTCGTTTTTGACAGTTCGAAAAATATAGATATTGAATTTGACTTGTTGGCAAATACCGTATTGCACAACTTACACTCAATATGGAAGTACGCAGACGAGAGCTGAGCGCTTATATATTATATATTACTAGCTTTTACCCGCGGCTTCGCTCGCGTCACATAAGGATAAAAAGTAGCCTATGTGACATATACGAATACATACAGCGCCATCTATACCAATACTTTTGTTTTCCCTCGGGAATATCAATTTTTTTCGGGATAAAAAGTACCCTATTATTTAATCCAGACTACTAACTTTACGTCTGCAAAAATTCAATGCAATCGGTTTAGTAGTTACGGCGTGAAGTCGGAACAAACAAACAAACAAACAAACTCACTTTCCGATTTATAATATTAATATTAATATAATAAGGATAAGGATAAGGATACTTATATATTATACAGCAATTTGAATAAAGTTTATTTCAGACATTCAGATTGCAATATTGTAAATGTGAGAGCCCTTAATTTAAATCAAATTAGACTAGTAGATTGCATTTATGTCAGCTTGGAGTTGTCATGCTCACTCAAAGATCTCGTTGGCGGTGGCACGTGCATTGGATCGCTCGATTCCCTACAAAATGGTTGAGTTGGGCGGTGCTAGGGTTCGCCAAATGTTCGTGAACGGGCACCGTCGATTGGAACTGGTCAGCTCCAGACTGTGTCATTTTATTGTATTACCCTCAAGGTTATTTTCTTTTTCAGTCTTTCTGACTGGATTTAGGTGTTGCATTGTTTTCACATAATCAAACCAATAAAACTATGTAACTAGAGAATTGTATTGTAAACCTGATTGAAAAAGAGTAACCTATGGAGTTTCTTGCTCGTTCTTCTCCATAGGAATCTACACCTTGGAATGAGCAACTAGCTTCACTTATAAATTTTTGTTGTTTGACGTTCAAAAGTGCCATCCTGGTCTAATTGAAATAAATGATTTTGACTTTGACTTTGAAAAATAAACCGACATTCAAGCAGACTGATCACCTGATGGTAAGCAACCTTCGACTTCGCTCGCGTTCTCGTTCCCAGATCATAATCTAAATGTCATCCCGATCTCTTCAGCCGTCTCGATGAGATTGACAAACAAACATACCCACAAATGTTCGATTGTTCGTATTTATTTATGCGTAGGTATAATAAAATCGTAGGAAAGTGAAAACTGTACCTACATTGAATATTATTTTAAAAGATTGCTTGAGGCGTGATCTACAGTCGAAGAAGACAGAAGCCAAATATACCATATATTTGGCTTCGATATCGACTATAGATCTAGATTTTGGAATTTTTGTCTGTGTGTAAATATATATAAATATATATTTGATGGGCCGACGTTTGACCACTATCTCGCCTGGTGGTAAGCGATGATGCGGCCTACGATGGAGCACGTCGTCCCATAAGCAACCTATTCACTCGGGCTTTGAAGTTATAACCTTTAGGAACCTTTAACACTCAGGTATAGATAGATAAACTTTAGGAAAAACGAATGTGGGAAACACGAAGTGTGGGAGAGCCATGCTTCGGCACGAATGGGTCGGTTCGACCGGAGTGATATCACTGCCTCATAGAAAACCGACGTAAAGCAACGCTTGCGTTGTGTGAGTGAGGTTATCGGAGGCCCAATTACCCTCCCCTTCCCCAATCTCCCCAATTCCTGAATCCCCAACGATACTCTAACTCCTAATCCTCAAAACGCCGGTAACGCACTTGTAACGCCTCTGGTGTTCCAGGTGTCGATGGGCGACGCCGATTGCTTAAATGCTTACCATCATCATCGTGATCCGTCTGCTCGTTTACCGGCTTATGCCATAAAAAAAACGGCCGACATAATATATTATGATAATTAATTCTACGGCCCGGTGTTTAGAAGGATTGTCGAATGTTTATTTAGTATGGTTCCCTGTCTTGCCTTGTGATTTTGGCAAAATAGAATCCATTGGTTACCAACGCTACTCTTCACGTCGTCGTACGCTGGCTAAAGGTCATCGCAAACCTAATAAGCACGGCTCCTTACGCTTTTTTGCTTTAGAAACAACCCAAAAAGGTTGTGAGCGCGACCTCGGCGGGTTTATAGCTTTCTTTTACTGACGTTAGGAAATATATGTATGTCATACGACATTATGTTCAAAATAATGACATTGCTGGGTTGAAGCCGTGCTTGTTAGGTGTGCGGAACAAACATTATACAGCGACCGTGCAGCAGCGCTCTCTGATAAACCTGAACCTTTAGGGCCAAAACATAACCGCGTTGCGTCGCCGCAACGCTAAAATCGGCGGTTTGCGTTGCGGCGTCGTGAAAAAGAGCGTTTTATTGTCGTTCGGTAGGGTAACCAGTTCGTTCGTGATTTTTTATTGTAGATAAACGTATCTCTGCCATGGACCATCGTGAAACTTATTGCTTATTTGTTTTTAAGAAGACATTACTCTGCTGTGCTGGAACGAGCGCTGCGTGGCGGCGCCGCGCCGCTAGAATGGACAGTGGCGTCACTGCTGATTTAAGCGGCGCGGTGCCGCAACGGTATTGGCCCTCTGTGCCATGTCTACGTTCCCCACACGCCAAGCATGGTACTTATAGCTATTTATTTATGTAGGGGAGACGCAAAATTCAGTAGTGAAAGAAAAAACAGTAGAAAATATTTTTATTTATCTTCCCTATAGAAGTCTGGACCCGATCTAACAAAAATGGAGGTAGGGGAGGGGAGGGAGAGGGAGATAAAACAACGATTCATTGTACTAGTTCAACTAAACGGGGAATTACCAAAACTTAACCCGAATAGGGAGACCATATTATTATAAAACTAGGAATCGAATCGTAACCCTCAAGTTTGTTTCTAAGAACGCGTCAATCTCTAAAACTACTAGGTCGATTTGAATAATTCTTTATGTGTTGGATAGCGCATTTATCGAGTATGGCTATAGGCTATAAAACATCATGATACAACCAATAGGAGTGGAGCAGAGCGTGTGAAACCGAGCGGAAGTAGCTAGTTAGGTATTTCATACTTCACTACGTTTGAAAAACGATTTCGACCCCCTTTTACTTAATACGCTTAATTAATATACTAAAACCTTCTCCGAAATATAACAAGTACTTTTCTGAAATCCACATCCGAACCGATACAGTCAATTGTGAGATAATCTCGCACAAACATAGGTACTTACTTACAATACAGGTCATACTTTGAACCTCCGTTTTTTTGAAGTTGGTTATTAAGACATAACGATACGATTAATAGGAGTTAAGCAGTAGATGAGAGTATGTCAGTATGCATATGTGGTATTTTTTTTTGTTTTTTTTTTTAAGGGGGGAAAAATCATCGAATGACTGCTCCCGCCTGGGTGAGGCGGAAGGGAGTGTCAGACTCTTACTGACTAAAAACCACCCCGTTCCTCCTCCTGCACGTCGAGCCGGAGCCCCGGTTACCCGTTAGGTTCTCCGCGACATGCATATGTGGTATATGGTCAGTATGCGTAATGTGAGCGCCATGCTATATTTTATTTTATTATAATAAGTTTTGTAATTAGTATAATGCGTCAAGCGTGTCTTTGCATTGTTCTCACATATACGTACAGTATTGGAATATGTATCAGAGACATTGTATACATACTTTTTTAAAAAGAGTAACGAAAGAAGAAAGAAAGAAAGAAAGAAAAATAATTTATTCGCCACCGACATGGACCACCGAATAACACACAAAATAATAACAAAATAACATTGAAAAACAAAAAAAAATAAAAATAAAATAAAATAAAAAACAATAAGAACAAACAATAATAACATAAAAAAACAGCAGTAAAAAATTAAACAACAATTAAGGCAGGGTGGCAGCATGTCCGCGACAAAAGGGCTCACCAACTCAGTTTAAGCTGGGCACAGTAAGTACCCAACACTGGTTTTCAGTTGGCACCCCTGCAGTGACGCACGGACGGAAGCAACGAAGAATAATTTTAAGGAAAATAAAATAGTTACATAAGACACATGTTAAAAAATATAATGATAATAATAAAATAAAAGGAAGAATAAAAACAGACCTCTAAGTATGTACATTGTGCGATAAATAAATGAATAAAAATGAGTATGCA